TGAGGTCGCACCTGTGGTGAGACCGCGCTCTGAGGCCACACCTGTGGTGAGACCGCGCTCAAGATTTTAGGTCAGAACATAAGCCTGACGGTACACATGTGAGATGTTTTACGGCGTCGACGCATAAACTAGATTAGTTTTAGGACTTTAGAAGAAGGAAAAAAAGCTAAGTGCCACAGTTTCCTCATTTTGTTGTTTTCTTGCAGACATAAGTTCCTGCTTCCCAGAGGCTTTAGTGCCACTTTGCGGCTCAGCACGACGCCCGAATCCTAGACACTCTTCCAGGGAGCCTTCCAGGAGCCTTCCAGGAGCCTTCCATGGAGCCTTCCAAGGAGCCTTCCAGGGAGCCTTCCAGGGAGCCTTCCAAGGAGCCTTCCAGGGGCCTTCCAGGGAGCCTTCCAGGGAGCCTACCAAGGAGCCTTCCAGGGGCCTTCCAGGGGCCTTCCAGGAGCCTTCCAGGGAGCCTTCCAAGGAGCCTTCCAGGGAGCCTTCCAGGGAGCCTTCCAAGGAGCCTTCCAGGGGCCTTCCAGGGAGCCTTCCAGGGAGCCTACCAGGGAGCCTTCCAGGGGCCTTCCAGGGGCCTTCCAGGGACCTTCCAGGGAGCCTTCCAGGGGAGCCTTCCAGGGAGCCTTAGAGAAGTCTTCCAAGGAGGTTTCTTGAAAGTTTCGAAAGAATCCTTCCATCGAGGCTTACAGAAAACATTCCATGGAGGGTTTCAGGAAACATTCCATGGAGGGTTCCAGGAAACATTCCATGGAGGGTTCCAGGAAACATTCCATGGAGGGTTCAAGGAAACATTCCATGAAGGGTTCCACGAAAACTTCCAAAATATCTTCCAGAGAGCCTTCCAGGGAGGCCAAGCTCTCAGCAGAGGGAAAAAACTCGGTTGCTAGAGTAAAACTAGATTTTCGCACGCAGCAAAAGACTAAACTTTTGAAAAATCCTTAAAAAAAATACAAATAAACACGAGAATATATCTTTGAAAAGTTTTAGAAGACATTACAAATGACCACAAATACAGTGACTGGCGGCTGAGGAAGACACATGGATCCCAGGGTAGGTAAAACCTATCCCTGGACTGCTAGGGATAGGTTTTTGAGCGTTATGCCATCTTATGTGGCCTGTATCATGAGAGGGCGTAGGCTAGTGAGGCGGGGAAAGTGAGGGAATAGGCTAGTATGAATAGTATAACGTTCCCTACTCAACGACGTTTCACTGCTTCAGTTATCTATGTATTTACGTATGTAGCTGAGCCTAACATTTTAAAAGCACTACGATCACCTTCTGTGGTTGTTCAATAAATCTCTGAACTGCATGTTTGACAAATCTCTCACCCTGTCCATGGAGGACAGAAGAAAATGTATATATGCTGGTTAGCATTGTAAATGTGTGGCCACGTCTGTGGTAGAAAATAATAATAATAATAAAAAAAAACTGCTTCAGTCCAAAGATGGGGTCTTAGACGAAGCATTAACAACTCTCGCTAAACTTGTAAGAATTGTTCTTATTATTGAAATTGAGCAAGTGTGAGGGTGAGAATGTCATTATCTAGGGTAAAACACCATCTGAGATCCACAATATCTCAAGACAGCTACTAAATTATCTTGTACTGTTGTGCCTTGAATCTCAACTTAGAGTCACATAACAGACATATAGATATGATATTATGTCAGTATCGAGTGAGTCAAAGTTCTTAAGCAGTGAATGTGTTAATTATTTCAATAAGTACTAGTGCCTTATATATATATATAAAAGTTTTTGATTAATTTTGTAATATATATTGTGTGAATTATTTCATTACGTACTAATATTTTATTAAAAGCAATCATCATTTTTTGGCTGCCTTTATGTATACTCTTATTTTCTGGAAAATGGAATTAAAACTTGTGTAAGTATAGGAAAATGACCTTAATGTATTCCTCTGCAAAACTATGCATAAATGACAAACTTTGATCATTTATCATTACATATTCAGATGATGCGATCTGTTTTACATACATATATATATATATATATATATATATATATATATATATATATATATATATATATATATATATATATATATATATATATATATATATATATATATATATATGTGTGTTAAGTCATTAAATAGCCACACCGACCCGAGTATGGAGGGCCCACTTAGCTGTTTTAGCCGATGCCCCTAAACAGTTAAATCCGGCCCTAATCATGTTTAATAGTTGTTAGGATATGTTAGGTTATTCTGTGTTGGATTAAGTTAGGTTAGATTAGTTTATACTGTGTTGGATTAGGCTAGGTTTAGTTAGGCTATACTGTGTTGGATTAGGCTAGGTTTGGTTAGGATAGGTTTAAATTCTCTTGGCCAACTTTCTTGTGTATGATGTGACTTATATCCATCATGCCCTCAACACGCTGGTGTCAGCATCGTGATAGTCACGTGACACCCGCCTGACAGTAATGCATTCTCCCTCTTACTCAGTGGAGAGTACGCGCGCAGTACTAGTGCCTCTTTAAGAGTACATCAAGCCGTCATGCTGGGGCCAGATTCACGAAAGCACTTACGCAAGTACTTACGAACGTGTACATCTTTCCTCAATCTTTGACGGCTTTGGTTACATTTATTAAACAGTTTACAAGCATGAAAACTTGCCAGTCAACTGTTGTTATTGTTATAAACAGTCTCCTGGTGCTTCGGAGCTCATTAACTGATTGGAAACAAAGCCGCCAAAGACTGAGAAAAGATGTACAGGTTCGTAAGTGTTTGCGTAAGTGCTTTCGTGAATCTGGCCCCAGGACCCCACTAGAGGGGTACACCATCTTAAGAACGTCCATTAAGATATTGCACACGTCATACGTCATGTTTATGGAACAATATTGTAGAGCAAGTCTCGGGGGACGAAGAAAGTGATGACAAATTAAGTGTCTGAAGGTAACGTCTCTCACTCAGACGGCAGACCTCGTGGCGCCTCAATATGAGGCTTCAGCAAAATAATGGAATTACGTTTTGAATTCAGAAATTTGTATTAAAAGCCCCTTACAGGGCAAAAAGAGAGCAACGAGAGCAAGAAGAGAGAAAGAAGAAAGCTCCCGAGAGAGTCCAGAAGACGCTCCAAGAAAATACAAAAAAAAAAAAATAATCCCTGGCAGGAACCATTAGGCCAGATCTTGGCAGCAAGAAAATGTCACCCGGTTTTAAGACAATTTTTCCCCCTCTTCGTTTTGCATAAAGCGACACCTCCTACAGGCCAGGAAAGAGCCAACAAATTTGTCTAGAACCCATCCCTTCCACCCATTTTGGTGCCCCATGACACCCACCCCTGGTGCCCCATGACACCCCCCCCTCGTGCCCCATGACACCCCCCCCACCTGGTGCCCCATGACACCCCCTGATGCCCCCCAGACACCTCACCATCTCCTACGTCCAAAAGTTTTAGGAGGAAGAAAATATATTTTGGAGAGAAGAGACAGAGAAAGATAAGATTATCCAGGTATATATTTTGGTCACGAGTGATGGAAGGGAAGAGTGAGGGAGGGAGCAACTGAGGGAGAGGTGGAGTGAGGAAGGACTAGAGGGAGGGAGGGGTGGAGTGAAGGAGAGCATGAATAAGGGAGATGAGAGAGAGAGAGAGAGAGAGAGAGAGAGAGAGAGAGAGAGAGAGAGAGAGAGAGAGAGAGAGAGAGAGAGAGAGAGAGAGAGAGAGAGAGAGAGAGAGAGAGAGAGAGAGAGAGAGAGCGAGAGAGCGAGAGAGCGAGAGACGAGAGGGGGGGGGGGGGGGGGTGTTATTCAGTGCGAGATCCTAGCCCCGTCTACTAGCTCTGTCTACTAAGACCCGCAGCCCTGCAAATCCTGTGGAGTTCCATTCGTTTTGAATAAGTCATTTTCGCGTGTTCATTTCACTGTGAAAGATCATATTAAGGCGAAGCAAACCTTAATTCACACACACATATATATATATATATATATATATATATATATATATATATATATATATATATATATATATATATATATATATATATATAATGTCGTACCTAGTAGCCAGAACGCACTTCTTAGCTTACTATGCAAGGCCCGATTTGCCTAATAAGCCAAGTTTTCCTGAATTAATATATTTTCTCAATTTTTTTTTCTTATGAAATGATAAAGCTACCTATTTCATTATGTATGAGGTCAATTTTTTTTTATTGGAGTTAAAATTAACGTAGATATATGTCCGAACCTAACCAACCCTACCTAACCTAACCTAACCTATCTTTATAGGTTGGGTTAGGTTAGGTAGCCGAAAAAGTTAGGTTAGGTCAGGTTAGGTAGGTTGGGTAGTCGAAAAAACATTAATTCATGAAATTTGGCTTATTAGGCAAATCGGGCCTTGCATAGTAAGCTAAGAAGTGCGTTCTGGCTACTAGGTACGACATATATATATATATATAAGCATTAAAACACACCCAAAAAACTTTACGGACGAGCAATCTCCATTTCCGTAACACAGGCCTAGCGCGCTGCTCCTCACGCAAGAGCAGGAGTAATACAGGACCAGGTTAAGTAATGCCCTGGACCTCCCCCCTGTGTACAGGACCAGGCGAGCTACAAGCACTTGGCGGGGGTAGTAGTGTAGGAGGGAGAGTATTGATCACCTACACCACCACAACTCTACGGGACCCGGAGTTCACGTTCCACTTGTAGCACTGAAATCAGGAGGTCACTGTCTTCACTGCTGATTGTATATGCCTTTTTGTTCCCGTATTCTATACATATACATACATATATTCTAAGTTTACTAATATACATTACGTGATGTATTTCGTAGACAGCAATCGACTTGATACATTGTACCTCTTGATTGAAATTTCAAAACAAATCCAGTTTAGTTGAGAATATTCGCTCAGTACAAGACCAAAATGGAGCAGATAAATCCTAAGTCAGGGCAGGTGGCCATGCAATCGTACCGTACCGTTGACGGTGAGATGGCCGCTGGACCAACCTCATACGAGAGTTGAGAATAGGGACTTACCATGAGGCTACGTGAAAAGTGAGGGAGGCGGTGAGTGTGGAGGAGCAGCTGGGTGTTGGGGCTCGGACAGCCGGCCAATGAGTCGACTTGGGCCAACAGGGGCCCCCAGGTTACCTCTCCCCGCGCGTCCTTATCCTCTATCCTCCTCCTCCTCCTTCCTCACCGCGTCAAGCTTCACAATCCTCGTCTCATCCTTCATTCACACACCTCACATTTCGTTCACAACAGCATTATTCTCATTCAGAATATTACACCACTAGTTTCTACATCTGCATAAATAACTCTAGAATAATATATTCTGGTCAGAGACTTAACATTATGAAAAACGACGAAAGCGAGCGTGCCAGTGAGCGGATGAGGAGAGCGCAGGCGCCGGCCGCGACAAAACCAAAACTGCCAGTGAACCGAGAGGCAAGATTGTCGCCAGGACCCGGCAAGGGTGTTCGAGGGTGTTGGTCACCACCAGCTGGGGCACAAGGGTGGCACTGGCAGGCACTCCACTCACCGTCTGGAGCCCTGACCCACGCCACACTGCCACGATCGATGTGTCCTCTACACACACACACACACGCGCCCACGCTCTCCTGGCGGCCACCGCCTTTTGGCGTCCACGTTTCTGCGTGCCGCGACGGGCTGACGACGGATGTGCGTTACCAAGTGCTGACAACGGATGTGCGTTACCAAGTGCTGACAGCGGATGTAAGCTGCCACAACCCATTCTCCCGTTTAGATAGTACTTTTTGTAACTGCACCATAGTACAAAAATTGCCATAATAAGCAATTAGATAGTAGAGCTTTGTACTATTCACCGGAAAAAATGACGCTAAAAAAACAAACTTAAATGTTCCTAGGCCTAGTATAGCACACATATGTACTGTATTAGGCCTCATATATCGTGTATTAAGCCTAGGAAGGTTAGATTAGGTTAGTTTAGTGTTGGTGACTGATCTCAGCCACCTCCGGCCGGGCCCCGATTGAATCATGTCATCGTTGTAATTAGTGAAACACGGGGCCATGGCGCACTGCCAGGAGAGAGCATCGTCCATCTTGCAATATAGACAAGCGAAATGGATGTGGACAGCGCCAATAAACTAGAGTACCAGGGATGGTTGGAAGTTTGGGGAGCCGGTCGGCCGAGCGGACAACACGCGGGACTTGTGATCCTGTTGTCCTGGGTTCGATCCCAGGCGCCGGCGAGAAACAATGGGCAGAGTTTCTTTCACCCTATGCCCCTGTTACCTAAGCAGTAAAATAGATACCTGGGTGTTAGTCAGCTGTCACGGGCTACTTCCTGGGGGTGGAGGCCTGGTCGAGGACCGGGCCGCGGGGACACTAAAAGCCCCGAAATCATCTCAAGATAACCTCAAGAAGTCTATAATGATTAAAGAAGCAGTTTACTGGCAAGGATATACGTGCCAGTGAGAGAATTAATGAACTAGGACAAATTCCTTATCAAGAAAGACTCGTTCTTCAAACTGGAAATCTACACATTCTTAACTGTTTGTGAAATCGAGAAATATCTTCTAGGTATAGGAAGCAAGAGTGCAGTAGAAACCTACCAGTCGATCAATTTAGCTTTCAATACCTGTCAGATCTTGAAATGAATTTTGAGGGACGGATATTGGAGTACATCTCACTGTGAACTCTTTCATTAAGACGTCTCAATATAGATTTACGGTTATGTGACATATTCTTAAAACTATATGCAGATAATAATTAACGATCTTAAAGACAGCAAGCGGAAATAACATTATATACATACGCAATTATTTTACACGGATGACAAGAAATGGCATTGCTGTTTAAAATAAGAAAAATAAATGTGGGATGAAATAAATACAATAAAATTATTACTCCGCTTTTCAGATCACGAAAATCATCCGCGTTCAAGCAGTGACTGTTTTGTTTTGTTTTTCATATTAAATTCTAGTCCCTACCCGTGACTACATCTTTAAGCTTGCTAGACCCGATCACTGGAACTCTCCACCTGCTAAAGCCATCAGAACAAGGGAAAATTCAATTTTGAAATACACATATATGAACAAATTGAAATGAAACAACTCCTCTTTACATGAAAGAACAAATTGATTTTGTTATTTGTTTTTTTATATACACAAGAGTTTTACATTCCTGTACTGTCATTAGCAGGCGTAGCGTTTCGAGCAAGTCTTTAATCCTATGTTCCCTGGAATACGACATGGGACAACTCCTGCTCATGCCATGCGTACTAGGAGAGGAAAGTCTTTACAATTCTCAGGCCATATCCTGCCCCCTCTTTAAGGCATCTTCCTGGGCACCCTGTGCGCTTTCTTCATGTCTCATAAGGCCTTTGTGTTCTCCTTTGCACGTGTTAAACGTCTGTTTCCACTAGAGACCCCTTAAATTTACGTTTTCTCTGACAGTTGTCGCATATCATTGAAGGGGGGACTTTCTTATTTCCTTGTCTAGTTTCTCCTTCCCGCCAACTGTCAGCAAGTACTCTTTCTGCTTCCCTCCTCTAATCAGGTCACTCTAGGGTTAATGTCATACCTAGTTCCTTATTTTATTTTAATGACATCGTTCCGAGTAATGACTACGGATGTGAGTACGCTAACTGTATTTATTTTTGTTCCTTTGAAATATTTTTTTATTATTTTAATTTATTTACAAATACAAGAGTTCTTACATTCTTGTACAGCCACTAGCACACATAGCGTTTCGAACAAGTCCTTAATTATAATTTTTCCCGGAATAAGACCCGCCAAATTGTTTAACAAGCAGGTACCCATTTTACTGTTGGGTAAACAGAGGCTACAGTTAAGGATTGACGCCCAGTAAATCCTCCCCGGCCAGGATACGAACCCAGAACAAAGTGCTCGCGAAACACCAGGCGAGTGTCTTACTACTGCGCCACCGGGACTGCAAAAAGTCCATATATTATAAAAAATATGGATAAAATAGGCTTCTCTAATTCTGCTTTTGGTTTTCAAGAATTGTTTTGCTTTCTTGTACGTCTCATTTTAACCTGTCCGGATTCCCTTTCCAGCTCTATCTGCTTCCCTGTCCAGTAGGCCATTTTTCCGGCCTCTGGCTGATCACTTTCCGATCTTGTTTGGTCCATACTATGGCCTCGTTTAGCTACCTCATTAGCCTATTTGCCTAACCCCTTGGTCATGCTTGTCCATCCATTCAATCCTGTTCGGCCTTACTTGAACCACCACGAACCTTTGACAAAACTTTCCCTTTTGCCAACGTTTGACTCCTCTCGAGTCCACCTCGACGGTGACTGGCTCTTTGGGTCCCTACCCCGGCCCCCAAAAAAGTCCAACACGGCCTTTTTGCCGGTCACATTTGACTCCATTCGTCAGGCTTATTGGCCTTTCCCGCCTTGGCTACGTTGGCCTTGTTTTCCCACAAAACGTTATGTTGTCCTTTCCGTGGCAGGTTTGACTGCCATATTCGCCCGTCTTCAACCAGCGGGGATGAATGAGATATAGAGGTGTGGAGGATGTGAGGGGAGATAGATATGGAGGTGTGGGGAAAGAGGTGTAAAGGTGTGGGGGAAGAGGGGACGAGGGATGAGATGTGGAGGAAGTGAGGTGTGAGTGATGAATGGGGTTGGGTGACGAATGAGGTGTGGCGGTGTATGTGATGAATGAGGTGTGGCGGTGTGTGTGATGAATGATTTGAGGTGATAAGCGAAGTGTTGAGGTGGGCTATGAATGACGTATGAAAATGGGTGGTGAATAAGGTGTGAAGAGGTGGGGTGATGAATAAAGTGTAGAAGTGGTGGGTGATTAGTGAGGTATGGACGAGGTGGATAATGAATGAAGTATGGACGATGAATGAGGTATGGAGGAGGTGAGTGATGCATGAGGTGTGGAGGAGGTGGCATGATAAAAGCAGTATGGAGGAGGTGGGGGTAATGAATGAGGGGGGGTAAGGGAGGTGGGGTGAGGAGAAAGGAGTGGAGCAGACAGCCCTGAGCAGCTCTCCTCTGCTGCTACATGATGGTCAGGTTACGCCTGGCACCCAGGACTCACAAGGATGGCTCTGTGCCATCTCTTCATAATATTATTATGTTTACATCGCCTTTCTCACACACACAGTACACCACTACTCCCCTTTGCATCATTATTATGTCTGCTTCACTGCCCCACGTATTTCACCTTTGCAAATGCACATTAATGACACTATGTAAAAGACACATCAAACACTTTATGTAGCACACATAAATCTGTGTATCTATGAACTTTACGTATGTAGCTTAGCCTAGCATTTTAAAAAGCACTACTAAATTAAAATTTACAATCATCTTCTGTGGTTGATTGTTCAATAAATCCCTGAACTGTATGTTTGACAAATCTCTCACCCTGTCCATGGAGGACAAAAGAAAATGTATATATGCTGATTAGCATTGTAAATGTGTGGCCACGTCTGTGGTAGAAAATAATAATAATAAAAAAACTGTCCCTCGCCTAGCACCCCCAATGATCCCAAAATGATTCTATAAATCCAATATATTTACTCGAATAGCTAATAAATAGTAGCTCGAATAGCTAATAAATAGTAGCTCGAATAGCTAATAAATAGTAGCTCGAATAAATAACTTAAACATAAATATTTGCCAGTCCCCCAACATTCTCACTAGTATCCAAAGCCAACACATTAATGGTAAATGACTGTCACCCGTGATTGCAAAGATACAGTTGAAGGACAGTCTTATAGCTATTATTACTAACACTTCAAAATATTAACTCTAGCATCATAATGGCAGTATTTCCAACATTCATGAATTACCTTGGTTTTTATTGTTATTGCGCCAATCCTTAGTCTCTGTTTATCCACCAGTGATTGTAAAGTGTTAATTGCATTATTAAACCACCCATAGGGGAAGAGTTTCATTTCCCCCACCTCCCGGCTCGGTGACTGGCCTTTTTAAAACTTATCACTGACGATTGACTGTCAAAAGTACCAAACTAGATCAAACTGGTTATATTTAAGTAGCCTCGCCCACTTCAAGCCATAATGTAAATCTACTTGACTAAGAGTAACTTAAATCAAATCTGAATTAAAACACAGGCTACTACTAATGCTACGAAAACCTTTTATTACTTTAAATCAAAACGTGATCACAAGCTACGAGCGACTAGGCTCCAAATGTCTCCAAAATCAATTCCATAAATCACAAAAACATCATATCCCAATAAATCCCTTTAAAATGTTACTTGAAACACATAGATAAAAATAAATTATATTTTACCTATTGAAAGGGAAGGAGGATAAGAAGTCATCTCGCTCTGCCGCTGTAGCCTATAGTTCTCCAGCATTGTCAGTGTGGACTGCTCCGTTGTCTGCACGCTCCCACTTGTTCCTGCTCCTGACTAGCACTTCAACTCGCAAAATCCAGGAACCGCTTATTAAATCTTCTCCTAGAAGACGGACAGAGCAGCTTCGTGCATGTACCGCCTTGTCAGCCACGGAACACACGCACAATTCCTCAATTTCCAGGAGCTGCCTTCAACGCGACGTCCAAGTTTGACACTACTGAACCTTCCTGCACGCCCGCCCGGAGAACACCTCTCAGGAGCTTAATTTTACAATCACGCGACCTCAGGTCACTATTCCATTGGATAATTTCCCTTTCATGTAACCAGTCATCATATTCCACATCTGGGGAAATCCAGTAACGCTGCATGGCTTAAATCTTGGCGCGAATTCTATAGCAGCAGTTCCTGACGCCCGCCATGTTCAATCAAAGGCTATAGACTGCTCACGCTCTCTGCATAAATTTAAAAGCGAAATAAATTTAAGATTTTCGGCTCTGTCGCCTTACATACTCTTTATTGAACGAATAATTACAGTACAGTTACATCCTGCAATAACACAAGTCATATAATATACAATACTTATAAAGACTAACAGTGCTTAAGATATATATAATAATAAGCAAACTGCACATGACTAACGCTAGAACAAATAGAAATTAAACTAGAGTTAACATAAACTAACCTGTACACAGGCACGACACAGCTGATCTGACAACAACAAAACAGTCAAGCGAGCATCCAAACGAAACAGTCAAGCGAGCATCCAAACGAAACAGTCAAGCGAGCATCCATCCGGGTACAATAATATAATAACACTTTTACTACACATACATTCCTAACATAAAGCAGGAGCCGTCTTACATATGTATAGGTGGGAGTACGACTTTTGATAAACGAAATAGGCTTGTTGAACCGACAGTAATTAACACAGTTTTCATATTATACTGATAACACTGACACAGTAGTTACACCATACTTATAACATTGACACAGTAGTCAGTATATTAATAATACTGATACAGTAGCCAGTATACTGACAACACTGACACAGTAGTAACAGTATAGTCTTAATTCTGACACAGTAGTTATACTATACTGATAACACTGACACAATAGTAACAGTATAGTTTTAATTCTGACACAGTAGTCATACTATACTGATAACACTGACACAAAACATATGTGTACATAACCATCGCCTGAACTTTCAGCCGTCATTAAAGTCTATGTTTTGTTACTACATCCATGATAACTTTATTAACATGAATTAATTGACACTACAAACGGAGGAAATATATAGACTAAGTTATAGTGGCCATATCACACTGAAAATTCAGAAAGATGATTTAGTTAGGCTTTTAAAATGGACGAAAAATTGGCCGAGTTCAATGCTGGCAATTGGAGGGTTTCAAGCCTATTACAGTAGATGATAACAAAGTTTGCAGATTTAAGCTAAATTCACCGGTTAAGAACTTCACCGTCTGCGTACGTGTAAAAGATCATTGCTGTAGTTTGTACATATATATGGCCCGGGATCTGACAGTCAACTGGTACCGGAGAAGCGAGTGTTCTTCATGGCTATGGATGCCCAGGAGCGGCCACCAGTCAGCCATCAGTGAGTGAGTGGCAAGCGTGCAGGGTGGGTATACTGCTGCTGCTGCTGCTGCCTCCGGAATATCGAACTACTTGTACTAATGGTATGTTGATGTATGGTTGATTACTTATACTGAGGGGTATGTTGATGTATGGTTGATTACTTATACTGAGTGGGTATGGCTGATTACTTATACTGAGTGGGTATGTTGATGTGACTGATTACTTATACTGAGTGGTATGTTGATGTATGGTTGATTACTTATACTGAGGGGTATGTTGATGTATGGCTGATTACTTATACTGAGTGGTATGTTGGTGTATGGTTGATTACTTATACTGAGGGGTATGTTGATGTATGGTTGATTACTTATACTGAGGGGTATGTTGATGTATGGCTGATTACTTATACTGAGTGGTATGTTGATGTATGGGTGATTACTTATACTGAGGGGGGTATGTTGATGTATGGCTGATTACTTATACTGAGGGGGTATGTTGATGTATGGTTGATTACTTATACTGAGTGGTATGTTGATGTATGGCTGATTACTTACACTGAGGGGGGTATGTTGATGTATGGCTGATTACTTACACTGAGGGAGGTATGTTGATGTATGGCTGATTACTTACACTGAGGGGGGTATGTTGGTGTATGGCTGATTACTTATACTGAGTGGTATGTTGATGTATGGTTGATTACTTATACTGAGGGGGTATGTTGATGTATGGCTGATTACTTATACTGAGTCGTATGTTGATGTATGGCTTATTACTTATACTGAGGGGTATGTTGATGTATGGTTGATTGCTTACACTGAGGGGGTATGTTGGTGTATGGTTGATTACTTATACTGAGTGGTATATTGGTATATGGCTGATTAATTATACTGAGTGGGTATATTGATGTATAACTGAATTTGAATATTTAAAGGTAAATATTGCGCGATGATTTGATAAAGCTAACCCAGTACTTAAACATTAATTCCGCAACCTACACGCAATATTATACATATATATATATATATATATATATATATATATATATATATATATATATATATATATATATATATATATATATATATATATATATATATATTTTTTTTTTTTTTTTACAGCATCGGGTAGGCTGTAATTGCTGGCATCAGTCAGCAAGCCCTCATAATCCATTACAACCCGGCTAATCCGGGATTTTTCTATAAGCTTCCCCTTAAAAAGTTACATAGGAAAATACAATAAATGATTCAAATATTACAAAGACAAATTACAGACTAGAAGTTGCCTCGTGTTGATAAAGCCTAACCTGGTACACCCGCTGGTTATAATTCATATTGCTTGGTAACCCCAAATGTCAACACTGGGTTTATCAGGTTGTTCTTACATACCTATGTCTACTGGGCGCGAGATCCAGCTCTGGGGCTCCGCCTCGCAGCCTGTGTGTTACATTCGTAGATCCCGATGTTCCAGTATTCTGTTGAGATCTTAAGCCAAAATCAATGCATAAACTTCTGGAATCAATCAAATTCTGTTATATATATATATATATATATATATATATATATATATATATATATATATATATATATATATATATATATATATATATATATATATATATATATATATGTATGTATGTCGTACCTAGTAGCCAGAACGCACTTCTCAGTCTACTATGCAAGGCCCGATTTGCCTAATAAGCCTAGTTTTCATGATTTTTTTCGACTACCTAACCTAACCTAACTTTTTCGGCTACCTAACCTACCTAACCCAACCCTACCTAACCTAGGGTTAGGTAGGGTTGGTTAGGTTAGGTAGGGTTGGTTAGGTTCGGTCATATATCTACGTTAATTTCAACTCCAATAAAAAAAATTTACCTCATACATAATGAAATGGGTAGTTTTATCATTTCATAAGAAAAAAATTAGAGAAAATATATTAATTCAGGAAAACTTGGCAAGGTGTTTCCCTGCTTCTCAGTATATATATGTTCAGGACAAAAGTATATTTTCTGGTTGGTCTGTAATCTATTGTGGTGTCCTAAATAATCCTCTTGAGGTTAGGCCTTAAACCTAACACCAGCTAAACCAACAGCCCGTACTCGAATTGTCACAGCGTCACAAAAATGATGTACTAAATTGCCGGAACCTAATCTTCTGAACACCCACCATAGAAAACGTGAAGCCCGTCAATTTTGCGAGTTGCTAATATTACGTACGTCATATTTTGACCGTTGGGGATTTGTACGTCAAAATAGGGTGTACTATTCAAGAGGACAGGTGTGTGTGTGGGGGGGACGGTGATGGGTGCATGCAGTGTGTGTGGGTGGGCATGTATGTATCTTTTATAGCCTATGATGGGGACTTCCTCTGGCGTCTCGCTGGTGCTGTTCCACGGACCCGTCCTCTCAACTATAGTACGTATATATATTATGTGTTAGTATCCACATAGGAAAAATGAAGCGAAAATTCCGAACGTTTTCGTGTTTCGACACATTTTCAAGGAATACAGACGAAGACATGGGTAGTAATTATATAGCTTCTTCACCTGAATAGTTAAAGATAAATAAACATAATATCGAATAAAGGAAGTGACATGATTGAATGGGAATACGCCATCTCCCAACTCATGGGATCTACTACACATATCTATTCTTTACATAATTTTTTAACTATCACAAATTATACCAGTTATAAAGTTATCTAATTTATATAATCCTGGACTTACATATATTTTCTAATTCACTATTTTTTATAACTGAAGATTTATTAATATTTCTTTAATAAATTTACATTACAATTTCGCCTAAATTTGCCAGGGTAACTGAATAATTGCAGTTTCTTAAGTGAACAAACAAAGCATTGGACTCGTGACCTGACCTTATACAGTGTTTGCCTTCTTATATTCTTTGGTCAAGACGTTTGCTTGTTTGTCTAACATAGAAATGATTACAATCGGTGCATGGAATTTTCCCAAAGTTCTGTGTTATAAGAACACAGAACTAGTATAAGAACAGGTCAAGAGCCCAGTGCATTACTAATTTGGCTGCAATGTCTGTGTCATTATGATGGGTTATATTTATGTGTGATGGTATCCATACAAAGAATATTCGAGAGCCTTTACTCTGTGCATGGATTAAGTCATTTATAATTGCTACTATGAGGTTCTTGCTGTCGATCATCTAGGAGAAGTTTTCAATTGCCTGAAGAGCAAACTTTGAATCACAAAATATTATTCCTCCTATGTTTTTTTAATGGAGATAGGTAGATTGGACTTTAAATGAATGTTCAGTGTGATGAGATTGTAGCCATTTTTACTTAGCCATTTATCACGAAGCATTGAAAATGTATAATTAGTCTTCGGAAAACTTGGCGGCGGGAGGTGTATGACATTTCCTCCATAATCGAATACACAAATGTATTTCTGACTTCGTGAAAACTGCATTGGGTTCGCGATAAGTGCTGATATTTCTTAGAGAATGGCACATGGGACGACTTTGGTTGGCGTATGTCACTCTCCCTACCTGTCATAGTTAATCATGGAAAGATAGGTAAGACTAGCCCCAAGCGTTTGGCTATCCTCGGACAGTCATTTTTTGTGTAGATATTGATATATTTATATATATTATTGATATTTGTTACCTGTTATATTTGTATATACTGTTGCGTGACAGGTAAGGAAGATGCAGGAACAAGTGGTCACGTTGCGGAGGAGGACCCAGATGCTGCACTCCGCACTCCTTGTCCTACTGTGTTGCCCCTGCATCTCTTCCACCATGGTAATTACCCCACAACACATTTGAACCCATATATACAGCCCCGCTCCTGTGCCAGGTAAGTCCACTACGGGCTCACCATAGCCCGTGCTACTTGCCCCGCTCCTGTGCCAGGTAAGTCCACTACGGGCTCACCATAGCCCGTGCTACTTGCCCCGCTCCTGTGCCAGGTAAGTCCACTACGGGCTCACCATAGCCCGTGCTACTTGCCCAGCTCCTGTGCCAGGTAAGTCCACTACGGGCTCACCATAGCCCGTGCTACTTGCCCCGCTCCTGTGCCAGGTAAGTCCACTACGGGCTCACCATAGCCCGTGCTACTTGCCCAGCTCCTGTGCCAGGTAAGTCCACTACGGGCTCACCATAGCCCGTGCTACTTGCCCCGCTCCTGTGCCAGGTAAGTCCACTACGGGCTCACCATAGCCCGTGCTACTTGCCCCGCTCCTGTGCCAGGTAAGTTACGGGCTCACCATAGCCCGTGCTACTTGCCCCGCTCCTGTGCCAGGTAAGTTACGGGCTCACCATAGCCCGTGCTACTTGAAACTGTTGGTTTCGAGTAGCTGAATCTAAAACAACAACAACCCACAACACCTGTGTTTCTAGCCACGTCTCCACCGTAGTAATTACCTCACAACACTTGTGTTTCTACCACCATGGTCATTTAGTCACTCATGTACCTCCACCATGAAGGTCATCATGCATTTAGACTTTGGTTTCTACCACCATCGACGTGTATCACTGTCTCTAACATGAAAACAATTGTCACTTGGCTTGCCTACTCCCAGGCATTTCCTCCATAATTTCAAGTGATTGGTCTGATTTACTTAAAACATCTCCTACAGCCTTGAAGTTCCAATCATCAACTTCTCCTCTGGCCTCAGAGTACTCTCATCAACTCCTTCCTCAGAACAAACCTGCAACCCATCGATTCACCAATAAAAATTTAAGTAGCATTTCAAAAGGCTGCCTCTGTAATTATGAAATGGGAAATTTGGCTGAGCGCTTTCGGCTATCAAAGTTGCAATGCAGTTCGTGCCAAGCTGTAGGGATACAATGCTATTCTATTTACAATCATTTTATATGTAATCCCTCCCCCAGGTGAGCAGAGGCAGCAGCGTGGCCAACGACACTCAACATGTCCGCCGACCATCCAGTGTCCGGCCAGTACACTACACAGTGAAGCTGCAAGCCTTCCTTCACGGCAACCGAAGCATTCACGGTGAAGTACAGGTGGAGCTGGAAGTTATCAAGCGTACGTCAGCCATTATCCTCCACCTAGCAGACATCCTCGTCAGAAATGACACTATTAAGGTCAGTTAGGAGTCCCGCTCTATCTGGTATAAACTTTTCACCAGACAGCCAGCATTTTGAATGACGGTGTTGGGGGAATGATTCCTACGGAGAGTTTTTATTACTGTTATATTTGGTAGATGAGAACGGGTAGTTGCCTTTGGAACAAAATATTCATCTACTTTATCTCTTTCTTGCATTCTAAGACACAGAATCTTTAAGAGGAAGGATATATTGCCTAAATAACTGGAACTTTTTTTATATATGTACGGCGAGGCAGGTGACAGCCGTCAACAGACGGCAGAATTACCCTGTGCGGCGGGAGGTGTATGATCCTAGGCGGCAGCAGTATACTGTGCAGCTGCGGTGGCGTCTCCAGCCGGGCAAAGCCTATCTCTTAGCTATGAAATTTGTGGCATCTCTGGCAAACACTCCTAAGGGAATCTATTTCACTTCTTATAAAGACAGTGAAGGAAACGAGAGGTATATCACATTTTAACCTTTGTACACAAATATTAATTTAACTCCATTTTCAAAATCTAATTTTGTGTTCATATAAGATTATACATTTATAATTAAAACAAAGTCACTACATATATATCTATAAAAGGCATTATTTGTCTCTTCGTGGTTAGGGACTAACTTCACCAAACTTTGCAGGGTGACTGGTCATTGTTCGGGGATGGTCATAGGCTGGCCGGGGTTCGAGCCCCCTGCCTCCCCCCCCTCCTTTTTCATGAAATGTAAAATTACACTAATTTTCAATCTTGCTAAATACCAGATTCAATCCTCACTAAGATTCATCTATAGCATATTATTTTCTAAATGAAGATTAAATGTTAGTTTCTCTTTGTGAAAATGGTTACAGGGATGAAGGGAAGGTGGTGGAGGGTAGGGAAGGTGGTGAAGGGTCGGAAAGGTGGTGATGGGTAGGGAAGGTGGTGAATGGTAGGAAAGATGGTGAAGAGTAGGGAAGGTCCTGGAGGCCTGGTCGGAGGACTGGTCGAGAACCGGGCCGCGGGGACGTTGAGCCCCGAAATCATCACAAACTAAGGTAGGTCGTAAAGGTAAGGAAGCTGGTGAAGAGTAGAGAATGTGGTGAAGGATAGGTAAGGTGGTGAGAGGTAGGAAAGGTGGTAAAGTGTAGGGAAGGTGGTGAAGGGTAGGGAAGGTGGTGAAGGGTAGGGAAGGTGGTGAGGGGTAGGGAAGGTGATGAGGGGTAGGGAAGGTGGTGAAGGGTAGGAAAGGTGGTGAAGGGTAGGGAAGGTGGTGAAGGGTAGGGAAGGTGGTGAATGTGAAGGACAGGAAAAGTAGTGAAAGGTTGAGAAAGTGGTAAAGGCGGAGGTGAAAGAAAGTAATGGTGTAAATTAGGTGGTTGAGGGTAGGGAAAGTGGTGAAGGAGAGGGACGTTTGTAGATGGGGAACTTATCGGTGCTAGGGTAGTGATGATGGTTACAGTGATGAAGACATTATTTAATGAAGACGGTAAGAGTGATGAGGATAGTCATGTGTAGTGCAGATAGCTACAGTGTTGCAGGTTGTGTGTAGTGAAAATGGTTCCAATGATGGTTTTGAATATTTAAGATGGTTACAGTAAGCAGGCGAGGAGTCACAATAACGTGGCTGAAATTTGTTGACCAAACCACACACTAGAAAGTGAAGGGACGACAACGTTTCGGTCCGTCCTAGACCGAAGTCGATTGTGAATGGTCCAGGACGGACCGAAACATCGTCGTCCCTTCACTTTCTAGTGTGTGGTTTGGTCAAAAAGGTGCTAAGATTCTTCAAGACCAACGACCATTTCTGATCAGTGGTTCATATTCCTCTAGGACAATGGCAGCGACGCACTTCTGGCCCACCAACGCCCGACGAGCCTTCCCCTGTTTCGACGACCCGGCGATGAAGGCTACCTATGAGGTCCACATAGCCAGGGAGAGCCACATGATGGCTCTCTCCAACATGCCTCTGGTCAAGACAACACCCATGTAAGTCACGCCGCACTTGGAATGGTCTTAAAGAAATATGAATTCAGTGCATATAATTTTGTTTAACCATTTGGACAAAGCAATATACGACTTTGTTCTTTGTTATAAATTAGTACTATGTTGTGATGGGATGAACCGTAAATATCTGAGAGGAGGAAGTAAAACCTGGTTATGTTTGTGTCGACAGCCAGGGCCAGGAGGGCTGGTTGTGGGACCAGTTCGCCACCAGCCTCAACATGTCCACCTACCTGGTGGCCTTCGCCATCATCCAGTACACCTCTCGTTCAGCGACTGCCGCCTCGGGCACCACTGTCAACGGTAAACCAAAGCGACACTCGGCTTCCAGATATTAGGGACTTGGTTACTAAAGATTCTGTTGTATGATGTGGTGGACAAGTATGGAGGGTGACCCGGGTATACGGGTCTTCTGTAATCACAAGATCTGAACCTTGTTTGCACCTGGTGGAGCTTAATAGAAAACCATCTCCATTTAGCTGCAATCTCCATATTTACTTCGACGCACAGGCTAATGAGTCGAAAACTGGTTCGACGCCTTAGGACACTGCACCTACGCCACTTTCTGTTCATTCTTTATGAGCCTGTTTTCTCCGCTCCCATCAATACAGATGACTGGATCTTTGCTAAGATTTCGTTCCGGTTGGATCGAATACCCTTGGCTCATGGGGCAAATGTGCACTAAAGTTCCAGAGAAGAGCTGGGCGATAAATTAATTAGTAACCAAAGACCACAGAGCGACAAGTTTCTTGTTCCAGCTCCTTAATGTTGTTGTACAGAGAGGAAATGTATTTTGGGCTGGCGTCCGGCCCCTGAGGAGTCGAGGTTTTTTGTTGTAACTAGAGCTATGAATGTATGTTAGAGTACCTCTTAAATGAATATGTAACTGAACTTGACCCATTTAATAAATTATATATAAACTGCAAAAGGGTGGTAGAAGAAAATATTCATATGGTTTCAGTGAACAGGATAGATATTCTCTAAACGCTTAATATTTGCTCTGAACCTATGAATCTTTTAATTATTAAATACTGATATACTGATGAATGACAAATTAAAATACAATAAGGATAACCTAAAGCATTTGTATTCCCCGCGTGTCAGTGTGGGCCGAGGCTGCTGTGTTGGACAAGACCAGTCTGGCCCTCGAGGCTACCGCCTTCAGTCTTACCTTCTTCGAGTCCTACTTCAACTTACCTTATCCACTACAGAAGCTGGACCTCGTCGCCCTGCCAGACACCCCGTATGATGGCATGGAGAACTGGGGCCTTATATTCTATAGGTCTGTAATATAAAGAAATTGAATTTGGCTCGTGTAGATTAGTGAAAGTGTTTAAGCAAGCCAACGTGTTGTTTGTTAAATACAGGGGACGCCCTTGTAAAATTATTAATTGTAACAAAGTAGCTTTAGTAAAGCCATATATTGTAATAAAGTAGATAACTCTGAAGGGTGTCCACGTGAGATTTTATGCCTTGAATCACAGCTATTTACACACAAATTATAAGCTAATACAGATTTCATTAAAAACAAAAACTAAATCAATATATATAGAGAATGTATTAGAGCCATATTGCTTACGCAGTCCTTCCCTAGGGTATGTCAAAGCTGCAGCCGACACTAAACCCATATTAAAATTTAGTGCATAGTTAAGCCTACATTAGATTATGTTAGATATTTGAGTTCTTTTGACAATTATTGTTATTTCAACCTTCCTCCAGACAGGCTCATTAAGCAGACATCGGCTCAAAGCAACCCAATTGACACCATTCAGAGACCAGCCTAGCCTACGCACTAGCCAATCAACACCACACACCAATAACATAACAGAAATACACCCACTACCAATCCAAGGTGGACAGGCCACCAAACTTTTCTCCCACTCTTACCCCTTCCTCATTCTATACCTTCCTGAATTTCTAATACCCATTCCTCTCCTCCTTCCTTACCAAGCCCTTTGGTCATGAAAACGGAAAAATAGGCTGGCCTATGTATGACTGCTGTAGCTTATGTATGACTGCTGTAGCTTATGTATGACTGCTGTAGCCTATGTATGACTGCTGTAGCCTATGTATGACTGCTGTGGTTCGCCGATTCGTGGAAATTTCATGTATACACCGTGTTTAAAGACCATTGTATCACACCATACAGGGAGTCTGAGTTCCAGTGGGAGGTTGAGACGTCAACAGCGGGTCGCAGGAGGCAGATGTGTGAGCTGGTGATGCACGAGACGGCGCACCAGTGGTTCGGTAACCTGGTCACCTTCAAGTGGTGGACTGACCTGTGGCTCAGCGAGGGCTTTGCTACCTACATGGCTACTCTTGCTGTTCATAATGTTAGTCCCATCACACATTTGTGGCTTAAATTTCCAATCAGTCCTAAACTAAGTTTACTGAGGAAGGTCTGTAAAAAAGTTTGTAAATAGTAAACAGACGTTTACGTAAACGTCTGTTTACTGAGGAATTCAGTTTCTTTATTATACACCGCATGGGCGTAGGAAGAAAGGGTTAGAAAGGAACATAATCACTTCAGGAACTGAACCCCATAGTTCATTTAGCTAAGCAAGTGACAATCTTTTGAAGCAACTTACACAACCGTCAATTTTTTTTGCATTTGGCACCACTATATATTTTTATCTCAACTATTATAATTAAGTGCCGAATTATTAAAAAATGTTTGATAAAATTGTCAATTCGAGTAAAATATTCCATTTACCTGGCAGTTCGAGCCTTCTTGGGGCATGCTGGAGCAGTTCGTGGTGACGAGGCAGCAGAAGGTGATGCAAGTGGACGCCCTCTTCGCCTCTCACCCCATCACCCTCCCCGTTAAGCAACCTCAAGATATAGAACAAGTTTTCTTCGAGATTCCCTACAATAAAGGTAGGCCGTTGACCCTGGTGAGCGTCGCCAAGCCGATTATGTTTTGTCTCTGACGCGAACACTTTGCGTTGTCTCAGTTCTGGGGCCAGATTCACGAAGCAGTTGCGTTTTGTTGTTGTTATAGTTTCAGCTACTCGGAACAAGTTCCAAGTAGCACGGGATATGGTGAGCCCGTAACTTACCTGGCACAGGAGAGGGGCAAGTAGCACGGGCTATGGTGAGCCTGTAGTGGACTTACCTGGCACAGGAGTGGGGCAAGTAGCACGGGCTATGGTGAGCTGGTAACTTACCTGGCACAGGAGCGGGGCTGTGTGGAAGCAGTTACGCAAGCACTTACGAACCTGTACATCTGTTCTCTATCTTTCGCGGCTTTGTTTACAATTAATAAACAGTTAATGAGCTCCGAAACACCAGGAGGCTGTTTATAACAATAGTAACATTTGACTAGGCAATTTCGATGCTTGTTAATAAATGTAAACAAAGCCGCCAAAGATTGTAAAAAAATACAACAATAAACAATACGTTCAAAATATAAAAATATTAATGACTATGTATAAGAAAAAATGTAATTTCAAACAGACAATTATATATTGACATTGCTAGAATCAGTGAACAAATCAACACTATTATTTTACTGGGAAACTTTGAAACAAATTAATGCTAGCACATGCATAATTTACAATACAAACAAATCACCAATATACAAAATACAGATGGGAAATGTACCACTCTCCTAATACTTGTACTCAGAACAAGTGACTGTCGGGTCAAGAAGCATCACCTCACATCGCTATAATCAGTCACAGATCACAGTTTACGATTATTGTTGACAATTAATGATTGTTATTCACAGTCTTGCTTACGGGCTATTCATGCCCGTGCCACCTCTTGGGAGACTTAATCTTAATCAATCAATCACTCTCCGTCTTGGCAGGCTGACCAGGCCGTCAAAATAGTCAAGAGAGAACCAAAGCCTCGATCTCACTTATAGGACCCTGTTTATTACTTATTAATAAAATATTTTCCTCTCTCGCTTGCTCTTCTACTTCCATTTTAACTCCACTCTTCACATACATCACAGAAAGATTACATTCAATTGCAAATATAATTATAATAATTTTTGTCGTAGCAGATCAGCACACGTGACACTGAAATTGAACATGCGAACGTTAGGTCAAGACACATTACCATTGTGCTGAGCACTGTATTGTGAGACCTTCCTCAGGCGCGGCTGTCATACGTATGATGGAACACTTCCTCACGCTTGACACCTTTAAGAAGGCCATCTCTAATTACCTCTCCGCCAGGTATGTTCCTTGTCGCCTCAAAGTTTAAGATTATTAATATCATTATCATTACACAGAGAAATCATATTAACGTGATGTATCAATGAGAAAATCAGTAGGAGTCATGAGGAAGACTATTCCAGCTCGTTAATCCAGCCGCCAAACCCTCTGTTTATGAATGAAAAGCTTATTACCCTCTGTTTATGAATGAAAAGCTTATTACCCTCTGTTTATGAATGAAAAGCTTATTATCCTTATTGCCATGTCGTGGTTTGTGTCTAGGAACACCCAGTGCATAGGTTCGAACCCTCATCACGGCTCCTACGTGATGAGGGTTCGAACGTGGTTTTTCTCACAGATGCCGTCACGTTAGTATGATTATTCTCTGTTTATTATTATTATTAAGGTTCTGGGAGAATGGATTATTTTCTTATGTTCGTGGCGAGGTTTTCTTCCATTTATTTCCAATTCTCAAGTCGATTGTGACTTGAGAATGTTATTCTCAAGTCTCACAATCTACTTGAGAATGGTCCAGGACGGACCGAAACGTCGTCGTCCCTTCACCTTCTAGTGTGTGGTCTGGTCAACATACTTTAGCCACGTTATTGTGACTCATCGCCTGCATGTGATTGACAGGTGTTTAGCTTTTTGCTCAGAGTATGTAAATCGACGAAAACGTTTTCTCTGCTCGCATTAGGTGTTGACAAAATAAAGAATAAAAATCCTCAATATGGTCTGGAAACTATTGTAGTTCCTATAATGGGGGTTACTCCCATTGTATATACAGGTGGGTCTTTACATCCTGGGGGCCAGAGTCACGAAGCAGTTACGCAAGTCCTTACGAAATTGAAATTTAAATAAGTTTATTGAGGTAAAATACACACAAAGGGATGAGGTAGCTCAAGCTATTCTCACCCCGTTCAGTACATCGTGTTAATACATACATAGACACACATCACAAACAATAAACGTATTACCGAACATTCTGAGAGATAAACATATACATTTCCTCCTTTACACAAGTAGTATGGTATCAGACGTACACACAAATACTTTTATGACCTAGGTATACTGTATAGACAGTCCTTACAAACGTGTACATCTTTTCTTAATCTTTGGCGGCTTTGTTTATAATTATTAGACGGTTAATGAGCTCCGAAGCACCGGGAGGCTGTTTATAACAATAACAACAGTTGATTGGGAAGTTTTCATGCTTGTAAACTGTTTAATAAATGTAAACAAAGCCGTCAAAGATTGAGGAAAGATGTACACGTTCGTAAGTGCTTGCGTAACTGCTTCGTGAATATAGCCCCTGTATATGACTGTTATACGTGTACAAAAAAATGTTGGGGGTAGAAGTAGCCTAAGCTACTCTATCCCTTTGAGATTGATTTTTGTTTCTCTTGTCTCAATAAACTTACTTGAACGTGTACAAAGCCAGTCTTACCGTACTCTGATTGATTGATTGATGAAGATTAAGCCACCCAAAAGGTGGCACGGGCATGAATAGCCCGTAAGTGGTGGCCCTTTTGAGCCATTACCAGTATCAAGAGCTGATACTGGAGATCTGTGGAGGTGCGACTGCACCCTGCGTGACGGGAGATGTCTCCCGTGTTACCGTACTCTACTCCGTTACCTATACACTGACAGGAGCCAGAGTAATGCTGACCAGGACGACCTGTGGGCCTTCATGACCACGGCGGCGCACGAGGACGGTTCTCTCCCACAGGAGATTACCGTCAAGACTGTGATGGACACCTGGACCCTGCAGGAGGGCTTCCCCGTTATAACTGTCTACAGGTACCATAACGGCTCTGCTAAGCTCACTCAGGTGAGTTTATTCAGCTTTAGTCAATTATTGTCCAACCACTTGGGCTGGATGGTAGAGCGACGGTCTTGCTTCCTGCAGGTCGGCGTTCAATCCCCGACCGTCGAAGTGGTTGGGCACCATTCCTTCCCCCCCGTCCCATCCCAAATCCTTATCTTGATCCCTTCCCAGTGCTATATAGTCGTCATGGCTTGGCGCTTTCCCGACAATTCCGTTCCCTTCCCTTAGTCAATTACTAAACAATTTATTAGCAATTAGATAATTCATTAGCCTTAAACTAATAAGGTAACTTGATCGACGTTGTAGCTGACATTCTTAAGAACTCGTGGTAATTGTGACATTTTAAGATGAGTATAGATGGCAAAGGAAGGGGGGGGGGGGTAATGATATGAATGAACGGAAGTTATTGGTAAGCGCTAAGCCAGCATGGATATGGCTATATGACACATGGAAAGAATGTGAGGGCAGGATAGGAGCAGGGATAAGGAACGATGCACAACCGCTTGGACTATAAGGACCAGAATGACGGCCATACAAGAATCGAAGTCGTCGTTCTTCTGACCAGTTCAAATGATGGAGTTTCTTTTCATTATTTGCTACCACAGACGTGGCCACACATTAACAATGCTAACCAGCATATATACATTTTCTTCTGTCCTCCATGGACAGGGTGAGAGATTTGTCAAACATATAGTTCAGGGATTTATTGAACAATCAACCACAGAAGGTGATTGTAGTGCTTTTAAAATGCTAGGCTAAGCTACATACGTAAATACATACACACACAGATTTACGTCTGCCCTACATAAAGTGTGTCAGTGTCAGTATTCAAGGTACGGACACCAAGAAAGTCACAGCACTAGTATCAGTGTCCACGCAGAGATAGGCTTCCCCATTCAGTAATTTTATTGCAAGAACCCATGCAGTTTGTTAAGTTGCGCTTGCAACATGTAATATATTTGTAAAAAAGTATAAGATGATCATGTTGTTCATCTTATCACTCTCATCAAGACTAAGAGAGACAAATTTGTGATGGTGATCGAGAAGTATAATTGGCTCTGCTAGTTAATTAACGTCTAGTCCTCTGGACGTTTGACTAAGATATCTAGGAACTGAATTTAACTTATAATGGGATTGGAATCTTTTCAACTTTGTGTGATAATAATTACACTATTACTCATATTAATGTACTATAGCAGTACCACTAAATATATTTATCACAGCTATCCTGGGGCCAGATTCACGAAGTAGTTACGCAAGCACTTACGAACGTGTACATCTTTCCTCAATCTTTGACGGCTTTGGTTACATTTATTAAACAGTTTACAAGCATGAAAACTTGCCAATCAACTGTTGTTATTGTTATAAACAGCCTCCAGGTGCTTCGGAGCTCATTAACTGTTTAATAATTCTAAACAAAGCCTTCAAAGATTGAGAAAAGATGGACAGGTTCGTAAGTGCTTCGTGAATCTGGCCCCTGGTGGAGTATCGCCATCACCAAGCAATGATGAACAACGCTACTATCCTTGTAACTACTAACTATTCAAAGACATTTCTTCAGCAATAACTGTGTTTAGACAACGGTCTAACCAATATTTGCGCGGGAAGGAGAGGTTCGTGGCTGGCGACGCAGCAGCTTCGCCAGTGCCTGCCTCCCGGTGGTGGGTGCCCGTGACCTTCACCAGCCAGAAGCGTCCCTCCTTCGTGCACACCCGCGCCCAGACCTGGCTCAGTAGCCACGCCAACCACGTCACCGTCACCGGTCTTCCACCCCCACAGTTCTGGGTCATCTTTAACCTCCAGATGACGGGTAAAAGAAACACTACGGCCGGTGCCGATGGCATTTTGTTTCAAATTGTTAATGTAAATATCATTCGTGAGTACATTTCCATCATCAGCAAGGGGTGGTTAATGTTAAGATTGATGGTGCTTGATGTTAGGATTAATGGTAATTGATGTTAAGATTGATAGTGGTTGATGTTGCAGGGTTTTACCGCGTCAACTACGACGAGTATAACTGGAACCTTTTGGCCTACCAGTTGGCCGAGGACCACAGCATCATACACGTTACAAACCGTGCCCAGATCATTGATGACGCTCTCACTCTGGCCAGGGCAGGTGGGTATATGGTTATAATAGACTATGATCTCACTCTGGCCAGGGCAGGTGGGTATATGGTTATCATAGACTATGATCTCACTCTGGCCAGGGCAGGTGGGTATATGGTTATAATAGACTATGATCTCACTCTGGCCAGGGCAGGTGGGTATATGGTTATAATAGACTATGATCTCACTCTGGCCAGGGCAGGTGGGTATATGGTTATCATCGACTATGATCTCACTCTGACCAGGGCAGGTGGGTATATGGTTATCATCGACTATGATCTCACTCTGACCAGGGCAGGTGGGTATATGGTTATCATCGACTATGATCTCACTCTGACCAGGGCAGGTGGGTATATGGTTATCATCGACTATGATCTCACTCTGACCAGGGCAGGTGGGTATATGGTTATCATACACTATGATCTCACTCTGACCAGGGTAAGTGGGTATTTTTATCATTGCCTAAACATTGCCTGCCCGAAACGCTGCGCGTATTAGTGGCTTTACGAGAATATTAACACCATACTAAGTATCCTCACAAACCCAGTGTACCTGGCCAGCGTGAGATCACAGTCGATGATAAACATATCATCAACAATGTCATTTTTGTGTTGTAAATGTATGTCAATGTGTGTGCACGTGCTGGTTCTATTATAAAGAAGAATAACAAGCCTCTTGAAATTGTGCATGCTAATTTCTCTTTGCGCCGAGGACCGTGTTAGCAGTGCTTCTGTCAGCTCTGGCACCATAGTCCAAACTACACACTTTTGTCTTACAATGTCCAGCAAAACTTGAGATTTACTGTCAGAGCGTGGAAAATAGGCTTGGGAGCCGGTCGACCGAGCGGACAGCACGCTGTACTTGTGATCCTGTGGTCCTGGGTTCGATCCCAGGCGCCGGCGAGAAACAATGGGCAGAGTTTCTTTCACCCTATGCCCCTGTTACCTAGCAGTAAAATAGGTACCTGGGTGTTAGTCAGCTGTCACGGGCTGCTTCCTGGGGGTGGAGGCCTGGTCGAGGACCGGGCCGCGGGGACACTAAAAAGCCCCGAAATCATCTCAAGATAACCTCAGATCCCCAGACCAGTTGTTTCGTTGGGTGACAAGTATCTAAAATTCACGCTAGTTCCAGATGGTAGCTGAAGTTCATCTTCTGATTGCATCCACTGCACCACTGACAACCAACAAGTGACAACGACTTGAACTGTTGATACCGAGTCATATGGTGAGCCTGTTGGGCTGCATGTAATGCATGCAGCAAAATGCAACTCATATCTTCGTGGGTACATGGGATGATAATGGCCTAGTCGGGGAGTTGTGGTCTGCTGAGGATTGTCGTTCCACCAGTAATAACAAGATGCATCTTCTGGTCGAAGGGCTTTATCTTGACGTCTTCTCCAAAAAAAATTCTGTCGATTGTTTGGAATGGAACCTGCCGCCACGAGACGTCGCAACTCTCTCTACCTCACTTTTATCTTTCACTTGCTTTAAGTGAACCTGCAATAAAATGGACCAAGATATGACCTATGCGTAATGCAGTATGAAGTATTCTAGACAAGTGTGAGCTAGAAATTTAATTTGCATATTCACTTAATTACTAGACTGAGGCTAGCTAGATTCAGCATCTGGACAATGACTGCTCCATCAACAATTAAATTGGTTGTGACAGGAGTCTGTGTTTTATCTCCACACAGTTATTCCAAGCACGTGAGGTCATCACTCTTTGCACAAAGACGTAGGTAGTGTGGGGGAGGACATACCTTATTCTCGTGACAAAAACTTTCTATGTTCTTTTGTCAACATTTATCCTAGATAATGTCCTAAAGACTTTTCACGTCGTTGCGACGAATAACATCGTAGACTTAGTTCCTTGGTGAGAAATTCTTTACAGTAAGCCTGGAACTAAGCTTAGCATATCCTCTTCGTATCCCACTTGGCCTTAACTGCAGAACATGTAATCAACTTTGTCTAACAAAACCAGATCCATACTCTTACCCCCTCAAATTGGTTGTTATTTTCCCATATCACATGGACAAGGGAGCAAACAGTTTTGGTAAATGAGGTCGGCACATTCAGTGCGATCAAGGTGGCATGCGTTTGGTCGACTTCCACAGGACTGGGACCAACCGGTCGTGTCGCTCAGACCACCGCTGTGGCTGTCACAGCTCTGGGTGTATTCCTGGTATATAGGAAGTTATGGACTGAAGACGTGGTGTGTATTAGGAGAGTTGGCAATGTTTAGGTATCTTCATATTTGATCAGCCTCACAATCTGACTGTCATTTGTTTTCAGGCTTCCTGTCATACGATTGCGGCCTAAACGTGACAGTTTATCTGAAGAATGAGCGGAGCTACGTGGCCTGGAAGGCGGCCTTCAACAACATGCAGTTCCTACACAGAATGATGAGACACACGCCTGCCTACGGCGCTTTCAAGGTAATCAAAATATCCCTAAGGTGCCTGTGCACAGAATGCTGGCATTTTATCTTACAATTAATGTATAATTGTTCCCCTCGATGAATCCGTGTTGTCCCATGGTTACAAAACTTAGTCTCCAATGAACAAATCCACAAGGGCCTTGACGAGGATTCGAACCTGCGTCCGGAAACATCCCAGACACTGCCTTAATCGACTGATACTCTCTCCAAATATTCCATTTTTTATTTTACTTTGATTTTTAACAAATGTTACTTGGGATATGTGAGAATGGTCTATAGTTTAATAGTCCATGTTTTTTCACCTTTCTTAAATGTAGCTACATTCGTTTTTTGTTCCAGATTTTTCTGGGAGCGCTCCAATCTAGTATTGCGTTGAAAGTTTGTTAATTGGTAACAATATCTCCAGCCTTATTTAGTGACTGCGTTGACAAAGTCCATTACTGTTTTTGCTACACTATAGTAAAGTAAAGACACCTGGAGAAACTAAAGTAACTTCTATTGTCTAGTGTTGCTTTTGGCCGTCTTGTCAAACGGTCAAACTTGACCGTTTAGACACCAATTCCCTTTCCCTTAGACACCAATCTATTTATAGACCTCCTGAAACCTCTCGAGTTCAACAGTTTTTATCATTCTTTTAAGAGTCCCTACCAGTCTTCACAGTCTCATTACATGGTTTCGTATTGTAGTTTTCCCTCCGAATATAGCTCTGCAACAGCTTAGCTTGGTTCTTTGCTTCTGTGGCAGTGTTTTTTCAATCTGCTGCTCTAAATTAAAGTCAGGGGCCTTCATACAGGATGTTAAATGGAAGACTACCTTCAATAAAAGTCGACGAACGACACGATGGACTTCATAACATGAACATACATATAAGCAACGGAATGATTCAAGCTATTTAAGATCACTGGTTACAGCCACAGTGTCACCAACTAAGTCTTGCCACCTGCAGCTAATTAATGCCATGTAAATGGACAGATTCTACTTTTCGAAGCATTTAGCAGTTCGGTTTTATAGTGTGGCTGGCTGGACGTGCCTAAGTGAAGGGAAACAAATCCCGACAACTGTCTCAGGAGTTTTGGGTGGCTCTTCCTAGGCTTCTCAGCTTTTACACAAATCTGCTTCTACCTTGGCCATACAGGACGTTATCTGTATATCTCCCGTTTCTTACTTAAGCGTTGTGGTTCCTTTGATAAGTTGGAGGCTCTTGGGTCTTTTGACTGTGACACGTGTGTTTGTGCAAGACAAATTGTTGAATATTAATCTTAATATATTATCTTATCACTGATTAATCTAATTAATCTTATTAATCTATTACCTTTTTCAACAAAAATCTGTGTATAAAATTCTGAAAACCTAATGACAGTAGAGTGCTTAACCATAATTCCACCTTCCCTCTGACGCCATATATATTATCTATACATCTCTGTTGCCGATTGTCAACTTTCTCACGCCTAGAAAGTCTATGTCCAGCTGCTCAGTTAAATTACATGTTGAAATACAACTTTAGGATGATCTTTGTAACACTCTCCACACACAGGATTATATGTTGTCCATATTGGAGCCGGTGTACGAGTCTTTGGGGTTCGAGGACGGACCCGAGGACGACCTCCAGACATTGTTGCTACGAAGTGAAGTGGTTCGTTGGGCGTGTCGTCTCCGCCTCGCAGATTGCATTGATAATTCAGTTCGTCTTTTCAATAAATGGATGACAGATCCTGAAAATTCTACGTAAGTGATTTAAGTTTAATGAATATTACAGGGAAAATAAGCTATATTTAGAGTTTTCACTTACACAAAATTGCAAGTTGTAACATGTGTATATCCAGTACATATGATGTAAAGATATTAAATCACATAGAGAGAAATTTGCTGTTATTGTATAACTTGAATCCTCACTGGAGCGTAAAGCAAGAGACTAACATGTTTAAACAACAGAGTAGCGCCCAACATGGCGGAGACTGTGATGTGCTCAGCGGTGCAGGAGGGAGGCCAGGCGGCGTGGGAGTACACCTGGCAGCAGCTCCACCACGCCTCCACCAGCCCCGACCTGAGGGACGCCATGCGCAGAGCACTCGGCTGTTCCTCTCAGGTCTGGTTGCTTGCCAGGTCAGTAAACCTTACTTTGTTGCAGTGAAACAATGTAGCTAAAAGGCACAAAATACATATGGTATCACACGTTCGGTTATCTCGCATGTAGGTACCTGGAGGCAGCCTGGGGTGGAGAATCTGGTCTTCGATGGCGTGAATTCAGCGAAGTATTGGAGGCGGTTGCCAGCAGCGACGCGGGTAGCTTCCTTGCCTGGCACTATTTACTGGAGAACTGGTCCAGAGTGACGCAATTGTGAGTCATCAATCAGGCTCGCCATGTTGTTGTTGTTGTTTTAGATTTAAGATTTAGCTACTCAATGAAATGTCCATGTTGCACTGTCTATAGTGAAGGCTCTCCAGTTATCTGAATCCTGTGTGTTATGCCCTTTCTAGAATTTCGATAGTGAAAACTAACTTTTTTTATGATGAAACTGAATATTTTGTGCATTCCATTCACAGTATGGATGGAATCTACAAAATATTCACAGTTTTATCCCCCCCCCCAAAAAAAAAAAAATTGTCATATTTTACACCATTGAAATTCTAAAGGGCGTAACACAGGTTCAATAATTTTTGCAGGATGAACTGGTGTCTTGAACATGAGCTTGGTCCATTTGCGTCCCCGTTCCGAGTAATATTATACACGTGGCTCATTGGTGTTTCGGTCCCATGTAGAGATTCATGCACGGTGTTCTCCGACATTGTGGAGTTGTTCAATAACCCTCCCATGGCAGCAGCTTGCGTAGTAGTGGTCAGTATCCTCACCTGCTCTTCCCACAAGCGTGTGATCCGGGTTGGAGCAGAGGGAATATTGGGATGATTGGACACCGTACCCATACTGTTCGTCTCTCTAGTTTCTAAAAGCGGTTTGGTATAGAGTGTAAAAGAAGGTAGTAACTGTCAAAAGCAAACGCTGAAATTTAGTGCTACACAGCCGGCCTAACAATATTAAAAAGAGGTCCTTGATATCATCGAGGATGACAGTATAAGATTAGAAACATAAAAGAATAACTTTGTCACAGGAAACAGATTCACTTAAGATCTTATCAAGGGAAAAATGACAAAGTTGCAAAACCAAAATTTTGGGTTATACTGATGATCAGGGCATTGTAGGCGGCGGCGAAAGACCATTAGCGAAATAATGATTCCCTCGAGTCATGGTTTCTGTTGAAATCATGTTCTGTTGAGGGATGTAATCTACACGTCTCTAAATGTGCATGTCATTATATCTGACAAAACAGAGACAATGCATAGACGTTGTGAACAATTAAGTTTTAGGGAATGATCAACATTTACAGTTAAAATATACACTATAAAAGATTTCATAGCAAATGTTACTTTCCTTAGCGTTGGAGGAGACTCCTCGTCGCTGGCAAGCATGGTAGAGGCCGCCACCAGACACTTCAACACCGCCTACCAGCTCCAACAGGTAATCATCACATACACACACGCTGACTGAGTGTTGTGCGTGTGTCAACAATGAGACATATTACACTTATAAAGAGGGGAGAGTCACTCAAATGTATACAAAACCTAAGGAATGTCATACTGTGTGTTTATCTTTACTTGCTTCTTACACTTTGGCAGCTGCTGCAGGTGATGACGGAGGGAAGGGCAGGTTCACGAGCCGGGAGGCTAGAGCGGGCACAGAGACTGGTCTTGGAGAATGTACGGAACAACATATCGTGGAAGAAGAGAAGCTTCTCCACTATAGTGGAATGGCTGAGCCAGCGAGGCTTCTCTCCAACCCTCCACCAGGCTAGGAAGAGACGCAGGCTCACATTGGTAAAATAAAGCATGTTATATTTTAGCCAACTTACAAAAAAAAATTTATATAAATTTAATGTCAAATCGTGAACTGCCTTAATAAAAATCGTAACATTTATAACAGGACTAATTATTTACCTACAAGTATTAAATCAATATTTGATTTAAAAATTGTCTAGAGGCGTAGCTGCAAAGGAGCAGATCCTAAATTTGTAACTTAGGGCAAAAGAGAAGAATGATGTGATACAACTGTTGAACATTAACGGTTCTGTAACTCTTGACGCTCTAAACTCTAGTCATCTTAGAGAAGGCAAGATTAGTTTAAACAGTTTAAAATTAATGGCAGACTTTCACCCCAACTAAGCTACTACTACTTTCTTTCTACTACTACTTTGGACTTTCACCCCAACTACTATTTATTTAATCAAGCAATGAACACAAGAGGTAAATGACCACGTAACATAATTCCGCGTAACGAGTATCATTGAAACCTTTTTGTCAACACTGATCCAAATTAAGTTATATTTTGATGTCCAAAATACACTGATAAACTTTAATATCGAAGCGGATTTTTTGTTTTGATTGTTTCGCCAGAGGCGGCTAGTTTATTGTTCACCCCATACTCATCCTGTGAGTGGTAGCGCAAAAAGGATTACAGAGGACCCATAAGGTCTTTATCAGACCTCAGCGGAAAAGTAAGACTTCCTTAGACAATTCATCTACGAACCAACATTATAGACATACCGAAGCTATTTTATTCAGAAAACCAGAAAGCCACTGGCACCGTCCAGCCCAAGTGACGTAATACAAAATATAGGAGTTAATAACTATTAGGATTTATCTATTTTTATTGTGCTTACAGTCTTGCTCTGCGGGTTGTCGATTATTTTCTGCTAAACAAATTTATGTTAATAAATTACCTCTTGGCGTGAGTGTCAAGAGGTTTCCCACCAAGAAAACACGAGACAACCCAAATGACTAAAATATGTACAACAATTTTGCCTTAAAAAATATTGCATTCGAATTAAATATTGAAAAATGGATGTTATATTGAGTGTCATTTACAAAAAAAAATTATTTATATAAATGTACGGGTTATGAACAAAGTTATAAAATAATGTGAATATAATGTAAATGTGAGTATAATGTAAATGTGAATATAATGTAAATACAAATTTCAACAAATTTAAATCGGCGGCCCAAGTAAACACCACATCCAGAGACCAGGGGCCAGATTCACGAAGCAGTTACGCAAGCATTTACGAACGTGTACATCTTTCCTCAATCTTTGACGGCTTTGGTTACATTTATTAAACAGTTTACAAGCATGAAAACTTGCCAATCAACTGTTGTTATTGTTATAAACAGCCTCCTGGTGCTTCGGAGCTCATTAACCGTTTAATAATTGTAAACAAAGCCGCCAAAAGATTGAGAAAAGATGTACAGGTTCGTAAGTGCTTGCGTAACTGCTTCGTGAATCTGGCCCCAGATAAACATGAGCTTCCCCCGTAAAATTATAATTAATAATATAAGTGTTTATGACATACAACTGTTGTGCAGGTACAATACAAAAATGCGCTCACAAGCTTCTATAAATGTCTGGATAATATATAAAAAATATAGTTTATATAAATATATGTTGATATCATGTAAGATACATGTCTATGCAGAAATAACCAGAGGATAAGTGAACAAAGCATGAGACCACTAGGATAGTATAGGCTTCACTGTAGCCTACTCGTACACAATGTACAACTATAGGGAAAATAGTTTCTAATTATTTCCTTTTGAATGCGATTATTTCCACGTAACAATCTTTTATGATACTGATTTTGTTGCATATAAATGAATGGAAGTATCTGTCTGAGGTTGGAAGCCAGATACTTGGTGCTAGGTTTACCAGTTTTTCCCAGTAATAGCTCTTGGGTACGTGCCCAACATGGGCGGGTCAGACTTTTCGTCAAAGAAACTAGTACCAAGTCACACTGCCAATGTGACCTCCCAGGAAAATGTCAATATCATATGACTGGACTGAATAGTTACAATCATTTTTGGCCATATCAGAAACTGTGCTGATCATGCCAAAGTTAACAAATGCTTCCCCTTTAAAACACAAAAATGTTCACGATATGTTTTCCTCTTAATCGGTTCATCAACACAATCCATAAAGTCTGTGTGAAATGTTGTCACAGTGTTATTAGTGATAGTGAAGGAGGCAGACCCGGGTACCCCTTCTCAGGGAGTTAGTGAGAGCGTGTACTCTCCTAATTGTACTTGCGGGGGGTTGAGATCTTTGGTCCCGCCTCTCAACTGGCAATCAACCAGTTTACAGATTCCTGAGCCGACTGGGCTCTATCATATCTAGATTTGAAACTGTGTGTGTGAAATCTGCCTCCACTACATCACTTCCTAGTGCATTCCATTTGTTAACTACTCTGACACTAAACAAGTTCTTTCCGTGTCTCACTTGGAAATGAGTGAATAAAAATAAAAATACTATTGGATACCCGCCAAACACACACCGAAACTACAACGTTCGAACAAGTTTTAACACCTCCTAACCAGTTATAACAATCAATATAGCAAGTTGAACAACGTTCTAATACGTCATAAACACGTTGAGCCAAGATGTAACAACTTTATTACAAGTTGTAACACGCGGAAAACAGAGACAGTTTCGGTTTGTGTTTCCAGGGTACTATTTCCACCAGTGTGCGTATCTGTAAATATGATGTAGGGAAAAACATTTAAATCTTTCATACACACACACACACACACACACACACACATTCATGAGCACCAAATACACACTCATAACCTTAGTGTTAAGGATGTCTGACTGCGTCCGGGAAGCCAGAGTGTAGCGTTCACTGGCTGCTGAGTTTGATGGAGAAGCCTCGGTCTTGAAGCCACTGCATGATAACCTTGAGGTTGGTGTCTACCCAAGCAATGTTATTGGCAGTTTTCTCAATAGCTTGATCAACAGCTCTTTTAGCTGTACCCAGGTTGCCAGAATTTCTTTCTTTGAACAGCTTCAGCTGGAAAACGAGAAAATTCAATTAAGATACAAACAATGATTAGATCTCTAGATTTAAAAGTTGGACGAGGGAATATAACTAAGCTTTAAACGCAAACAAATAGTCTAAGAGATACAAAGAAATACTCTTACTCTTTGTGGGAGGTCAGCAAATGTAATGTACCGATTCAGAACAGCTAAATTAGTGAAGTGAGGCTAGCCCTCACTTCCTCGTAGACAAATACTGATGGGTAAATACACTAGTTCCCCCTTCTCCAGCATTCATTCACTTTGTTTATTTAAATTTAAATCCATAATACTAGCAATAACTGACTGGCAAAACGCTGTGATAAAGTCGTGAAATAACAATGATCATTTTAGATATAAATGAAGCACCGATGACACAGAAACGGCCGGTTTGTCATAGAGTCTGGATTATCGATTGATTGATAAAGATTAAGCCACCCAAAAGGTGGCACGGGCATGAATAGCCCGTAATGGAGTTTGGACTTGGACAACGCAGGTAATAATTGTAAAATATCCCTGCGGCGGGGGTATCTGACGGTCATAATGTAATGGGGAGCACTTAACACACATTGGTTGCACGTCGCTTCGTCAGCCATGAAGGGTGCATCAGAAGTAAGTAATTATCAAAGGAAGGCACCGAACCCCTAAGGCTATGTAGCGCCATCAAATGTGCGGAACAATCAGAGGGCGCTAGATGTCACCAAGGATGCCAATACGAGAACAAAAACGCATAAGGCGAACGATATCAAAATTATCCGAGGGGGTGAATCAGAAGCCACACCTGACTACGGTAATGGGGTGACAGTCTCCTTGCTGCACAAGGTCTGTGCCAACGAGGGAGAGAATTGAAACCTATTTACAGCGAAATGCCAGAGAAATGAACCCAATCACACCAGTGAATATACACACACCATAAAGGTCCTTGAGTTTTCAGTTACACCAGTGTTATATTTACACAATTCCTGTAATTTTATTAATTTTACCTTCAAGCGTTGTAAATGCTACACAAGATATATATCTTTTACATCAAACTAAGGATCGCTCAACAATACTAGTTACATAGGTAATCTTTAATCAACATGCAATTATTAATATCACTTTCTTCTGATACACACAATCTGCAAAACCAATTGACTGATGTTAACTGTGAAGTGGTTCATTAGCAACTTTTTCTTAATTATTTTCAAACTTAAAAAAAAAATGACAAACCATGTTTCAAGCATTTAATTGATATCTTCCTTGTAAAAACACGACCAACAACAACTTAGTTGATCGTTGTGTGCGCGTGTTGGTCACAACGATCATGTCCTTGTGACTTTGCAACCCGTTCTCGCACTTTCGTATAGTCAATATTGACTTATTAAATACGTGCATATGTGCATATAAGTCAATATTGACTATACGAAAGTGCGAGAACGGGTTGGACTTCACCAGGTTTGGGTGCTAACTTACCTCCTTCAGTTCCAGGTCAGTGTTTAAGGATTCTGTAGACACCTGGATGATTTTAGGAATGGTGAACAGGCCTGATCCATAGCTGAAATTAGTTTATCCACGCTAAGTTAAAAGGGCATTATGTAGTCTTATAAGCTTTGTTTTACGTAAACAAGGTTCAAGATGTGTTTGGTGCAATATAAACAAGCCAACACAAGCCAAAAAGTTCATATTTCATACTCACTAGTCCATAATGTTCTGCCATTTATCCCTAACATAGTTCCAGGCCAGGTAGTGACCTACACTGTTCATGGCCACGGAGGAGAACGCAGTTCTTGCATCTTGCTTCCTAATACCACTGCCAGCTGTGAAGGTCATGTCAAGGTACCTGCAGGATAGACAATGTTAAACAGAATCAACATGTTAAGTGGTCCACCTGGTACATTACGGGGTATAAGCTTGACAATGTCTCCTAATAGCTAATCGCAGTGTGATTCTTTCCCGAGTTTCGGACAGGGAACTCGGCAGTCATACTACAGAATTGATCCTATGAAGTATGACCCAGTTGCGAGTCATCCAGTTATTAACCAGGCATAACGGTGTTCAACCTCACTGACTCATCATTCACAGCACCTTATTAAACAAAGGTTCCTTAAATACTAGTTACTAATTTCAACTAACCGAGACAAGATCCAAATCTTCTTGGTACATCCCAGTGAAGAGAGTAGCGTCGACTTCTCAGAGCCGACGTTGGAGGCCAGGTACTGCTTCCACCCAAAGTTCCACTCCTCCTCGCCTCCGGCAGCAATAGCGGCACAGTACACTGTGCTCTTCAAGTTCGGCGACACAATACTGTTCACACAATTACAAGGAACCATTTACTTACACCAGAAAAAAATATTCCTGCTCCCAATGTCTCAAATATTTGTAGCGATCGCCGTAAAATACGAATAAACCATATGGAAGTCTTCCATTACTAGTCCTACCTGCGGTTGGTAGGATTATGCATCCACTTCTGATAGAGAGCGACCGAGTTCTCGACACAGTCCTTGTGCTCGAGGGTGCAAGCCCACCTCAGTGCCCTCACACGCTTGAACTGCTCCAGGTGAGGGTCGCTTATATTGTCCTCGAAACCCACAGAATTGTAGAGCGGAGTGAGGATGGAGAGCAGGTAGTTCTGTTTCCACCAACAAAGACACAGTTATGAACACGTACAGATAGAAATAGACGAGTTATTTATTTTATTGGGCCTTTGAGACCACGTGTGTGTTGTCGAGACTATGACATGTCTTCGTAGATGTCTTCACATCCACTACTACTTTGCCCGAAAGTATGCGTACTAGTGGCTTTAGGTATTGTAAGTACTAGCTCTTTCTTTAAATCAGAATGTTTGTAACTCTGCATCTATGTATGTACTTTTCCTAAATCAAATATTATTATTATTATTATTACTCTTGTCCACATAACAAATAGATCCCGGGAAACTACTTATGTATACAGTCCCACCCACACCATTTTACAGTTCACAGTTCACCACAGTGTGATTATCAAGATATTGGGAAACACAGAAATCACAATAGCGTGATGCATCAAATGAACAAATCCACAAGGGCCGTGACGAGGGTTCGAACCTACGTCCCAGAGGATCGTACGAGATTAAGGCGCATCTGGGGATCCTCTAGGACGTACGTTCGAACCCTCGTCACGGCCCTTGTGGATTTGTTCAAGATATTGGCAGATTTTCATATTTGTTTTAAGTTTCATCATTGCAAAAAGAGTTAAAAAATATAAAGACAAAATTAAAAACAACGCAACATTAAAAAAACCTAACCAAATTCCATATACTTCCATTGAGGAATGGTTAACAGAATAACATAATGAACAAATCCACAAGGGCCGTGACGAGGATTCGAACCTGCGTCCGGGAGCATCCCAGACACTGCCTTAATCGACTGAGCTACGACAGGGTTAAAAAGACTTGAAACCGAAGTTCTACTGAACTTACTGGATCCCGTAGCCTCTCCCTTGTGGATTTGTTCATTTGATGCATCACGTTAGTGTGATCTCTGTGTGTGAGAATAGCATAATGTTGCCAGAGTAAGGAGAAGGTAAAACATTCATATTCGTCTCGTACGATAACTGACCTGAAGAAGGTAAACAATGACATTCATATTCGTCTGGTACGTACCTTGAGAGCGCCATAGTTGCCAGAGCGGGTAAACATCTGCTTGAGGTAGTGAAGGTTCTCCAGTGCCGAGTACCACGGTACGTACTCCTCCTCCTTCTCCAAGTAGGCGATCACCCCCAGTGCCGTCTGGTACGATAACTGACCTGAAGAAGGTAAACAATAGCATTCATATTCGTCTCGTACGATAACCGACCTGAGAAGGTAAACTAACATTCATATTCGTCTCGTACGATAACCGACCTGAGAAGGTAAACAATAACATTCATATTCGTCTCGTACGATAACCGACCTGAAGAAGGTAAACAATAACATTCATATTCCACCATTTCTCCAACAAATTAAAAAAGTGCGTAAACAGCTTTGTCAATTTTTCTTTCACTTCTAAAATTCATCCAGTGAAGTCGAGATATTTGCTAAATAAATATTAAGCTTTTTAAGCCGAAATCTACCGTGAAAAAATGTATTTTGAGGTTTCAACAAGAATAAAGGTCTTAAATCTTTCCTAAACACAGATAAAAATCTTTGTAGAATTATATGTACCTGTCTGTGCATATGTTTGTATACACATATGTGCATCTGTTCGTATGTGTATCTGTTGGATCTGTACACTGGAATATTTGTGCGCGTGTGCAGCTGTGCATCTGTACATTTTAGAATCTGTGCACCTGAGCAAATATGAACGTACGTGTGGGCGCGCATGTAAATCTACGCACTTAAATAATTGTATCTGTGGAGTCGAGTGCCTGTTATTGCTGTATGCACAAACTGCTTCTCTATTTGTATAAATATTCAACTATTTTTTGCAAATAGGTGCCGATCAGATCAAGTGAACAGTAACCGAATTAATCCATCCTCCAAAAATTGATATACAAATTATTGATGGAATGTAAAAAAAAAGATAGAGAGGGTTGGGGGGGTCCACGTTTTGGAGAGAGCCAGAGAAAAATGCAAACTAACCTTTCTTAGGCCTAGTAAAATAGCAATTTATATTAAATTTGGTCTATGATTTGCGCATAATAGGCCAAGAGTTGCATATTTAGGCCGAGGACACGCTAGATTAAGTTGGTTAGATTGTCAGTCTTGTAAAGTAGGCATCCTAAGGGCATACAAAACCATTTTTTTAGGGTGGTGGGGAGGGGGAGATATTAAGCTTAAGCCACCCAAGAAGTGGCACGGGCATGAAAACATTTTACGGGTGAAAACTCCCTATTTTATACAGTTCAGAGTCCCTACAGGTACCATTTTTGGAGGGTGGGTTGTGAAAGATGTTCGGTCCCGTCAGAAAAGTGGCTCCTTCCCAGAAGACAGCCCAAGACAACAACAGTCACGGTACGACAATAACGGAGCATGGATGTCTCGCAATTCTGTTCACATTCAGCAGCTCTTCAAATCAATTCAACTCAACCGAAGGTACCCAAACGGAAGTAGAACCAATTGAAAGTAACTAAGCACTCTAAGAACGGCGCGAGGTGTATGCAATTTTCCAGAAATCATCATTATTGAATGAGGAAGACTACATAATATGACACGTGAAATAAGACTGCACGTGTAAATAAAATCAACGCCGCATTGTTGTGAACTGGCGATGTATGCAAAGGATGTCTTCTGCCACACCTGTGGCATGTGAATCAACCAAGTCGTTCTTACAGAAACGATGGTTCGGAATCACCACAGAAGATTTGGAGTTTTTAAAGGGTAAAATTAATGTCGTCAGGCCAGAGTTCAGGATTGTTAAACATGTCAATGTTTTAAGTAACACGACCCCATCAAATCACTGGATGTAGTTAACATATTGCATAAGCTCACCGAAGCCAGACGGTAACAAGTAACTCGTGATTTACTATACAGGATGAACAACCCAGCGGGTTTTCTTCCTATTGGGGAGTGTTGTACATGCTGCTATGGCGGTATGTCCACTCACAAGATGAGTGGCGCTGCCCAATAAACTCGTCCCTCGGGGCAAAATTTAAAATTTACTATACCAATAATGCGATTGTTAATGTTTAAATGCACCAGTAGCTATCGAGCTCCTCGCAAGACTTTCTGAAGAAAAGCACATTTGCAGAATAATGTTGTTGTAGATTCGCTACTTGGAACAAAAAGTTCCAAGTAGCTTAAATTTGCGAATTCTCCGGCCACACTTAGCTCTCTGCTCCAAGCTCCATCTCAACGTCCACGACACTGCTGTATCCAGGACTACAAAATAAATATGAAACTCACTAAACATTGTATCTAATCTACCCAACAACGTAACATAATCGTACGTTACATTGGTGCGGGTTATGGTGAGCCCGCACTACACACACACACACACACATTGGGGATGGCAAGGGGGTGATAAGACAGGTGACATGGCGAAGAGGGAAGGAGCTGGCAGACGAGGCTGGTATTAAATTTCTCGAAGTGTCTGACGTGACAGGGACCAATATTGAGCAAGCTCTGGTCAGCATCACCAGTGCTATCTTAGCTAAGGACACAAATGTCATATCAAGTGCCAAGCCTTCAGTGTTCTGTCCCTTACAATGACCATGACTGAACCTGCCTTGGACAACCCTTCAGGGAACCTCTTCTGCACTGTACTATACATTCAGAAGCTAAACAAACCCGACGTACCAGCTCGTGCGAGGTCCATAGCGTCGTCGATGATCTGAGCGCGGTTGATCACGTGGATGGCCAGGTGGTCGGTATTCAACTGCCGGATGAGCAACTTCCAATTCTGCTCGTCATAGTTCACTCGATAATAACCCGTCTCTTGTACATTGAAGATGACCCACTGGTCCTTCCCAGGCAGCGAAGGGACGGTTACCTCCTTGTCAGACTCCTTCATCCACACCATGGCTTTCGTGTTGTTAAAATTGGGGTTATCCTGAGTGGTGTAGGTCAGAGGGACCCACCACCTGTAGTCGTGGGTGTCGGAAGAGTTCGCGCTCTTCACCAGCAGAAATCGTTCCTGTAACAATATCAAACTTGCTTAAATTATTCATTCTTACACGGATTTGATTGGGTACGTTTGTGAACGAGATTGGTATAAAACTAAGAGGTGTTACAGGATAATTGTATTGGGTGATCTGAATGGTAAAGTTGGGGGTAATGGTGTTGCAGGAATAAAGTACAACTGGCAGAAGAAAGAATTATACATTGAAAGATTTATTAATGAAAGACATTTTGTAAGTTGCCTTGTTAGGATCTATCTGCTGCCGCTTGAAATCTTTAGTAATTATTTGTCAGTCGTGCAAAATATAAAGCATTGTGATACAATGAATGGACATCGGAAATATCATTATTTAACAGCTATAATCTTCAAATATACTACAATTTTTTTCTCTGCTGCTGATGCAGGTCGTACACATGGCCTTTCCTCCTCCACACGACTTGCTACCACTAAATCCAGTCACAGCCCCGCTCCTGTGCCGGGTAAGTCCACTACGGGCTCACCATAGCCCGTGCTAATTGCCCCGCTCCTGTGCCAGGTAAGTCCACTACGGGCTCACCATAGCCCGTGCTACTTGCCCCGCTCCTGTGCCGGGTAAGTCCACTACGGGCTCACCATAGCCCGTGCTACTTGCCCCGCTCCTGTGCCAGGTAAGTCCACTACGGGCTCACCATAGCCCGTGCTACTTGCCCCGCTCCTGTGCCAGGTAAGTCCACTACGAGCACACCATAGCCCGCGCTACTTGCCCCGTTCCCGTGCCGGGTAAGTCCACTACGGGCTCACCATAGCCCGCGCTACTTGCCCCGTTCCCGTGCCGGGTAAGTCCACTACGGGCTCACCATAGCCCGTGCTACTTGCCCCGCTCCTGTGCCAGGTAAATCCACTACGAGCTCACCATAGCCCGCGCTACTTGCCCCGTTCCCGTGCCGGGTAAGTCCACTACGGGCTCACCATAGCCCGCGCTACTTGCCCCGTTCCCGTGCCGGGTAAGTCCACTACGGGCTCACCATAGCCCGCGCTACTTGCCCCGTTCCCGTGCCGGGTAAGTCCACTACGGGCTCACCATAGCCCGAGCTACTTGCCCCGCTCCTGTGCCAGGTAAGTCCACTACGGGCTCACCATAGCCCGCGCTACTTGCCCCGTTCCCGTGCCGGGTAAGTCCACTACGGGCTCACCATAGCCCGTGCTACTTGCCCCGCTCCTGTGCCAGGTAAGTCCACTACGGGCTCACCATAGCCCGTGCTACTTGCCCCGCTCCCGTGCCGGGTAAGTCCACTACGGGCTCACCATAGCCCGTGCTACTTGAAACATTTTCTTCCCAGTAGCTGAATCTAAAAACAACAAACACCACTAAAGAATTGCTAACCTGAGTAACCTTAGCAGAGGTGCCGTCAGCGCTCCTCGTCACCTTGATGACAGGGTAGCCCATCTGCAGGGTCCATGTGTCCATGATCTTCTTGACTGTTGCGTGTGGCGGCAGTGTGCCGTCTTCATGTGCAGCCTCCGTCAGGTACTGCCACAGGTCATCTTGCTCGGCGCTCTTGTACTTTCTGATGACAATTTCGTTTTCGTTTTATGCCTTATAGATTTATATACAATAGATTTTTATACTTTTTATATACAATAGATTTATATACAGATAGATTTATATATAATATTAATACAATATAATATACAAGATAGATTTATATACAATAGATTTTTATTTTTATTGATTTTTTTTATTATATACAATAGATTTTTATTTTTATTGATTTTTTGTTATTTTATGCAATAGATTTTATATTTGTATAATGCCTTATACAATAGATTCACAAACTATGAAATTAAGAGTATTATAATTCCCGGTGGCAGGGACAAGAAGCCGTATTTGTCCAAAGAACCTACACAAATTACACACAGAAATCACACTAACGTAATGTATCAAATGAAGTTCAGTCGATTAAGGCAGTGTCTGGGATGCTCCCGGACGCAGGTTCGAATCCTCGTCACGGCCCTTGTGGATTTGTTCAACCTACACAAAAACTTGACACCTTAACTCGATCACTGTAGCGTAGTTATGATAAACTACCACGTAGAGCTTCCAAACTCTTTAAACGTTATATTAAATACAAACTATACCGTCAAGATTGAGGAAAGATGTACCGGTTTCGTAATTGGACTCTATTAATCCTGGCCAAGACTATTAAAAGTTCCCGTCTCCTTGCTCATCCTCGCACCAGAGTCTAAGATGCCAGTCTGTGCGCCTCTCACCCGCCAGTCCTCAGCTTGACTTCATTAGTACATTCTTTGGTAGTTAAAGATTCAGAGAAGCTACTTACAGTTGGTTGAGGTAGTTAGAGAGGCCCCTTCTGAAGGTGCTCTCCGTCAAGAAGTAGTTCATCATGCGAATAATAGATGCACCTGTCATAAACGATAATAATTACTCTCAAGAACTCAATACATCAATTAGCAAACACCAAACAATACAAATTTGTGTCATATGTCGCTGAAAATCGCAAAGGAAATTCGAAAAAAAAGTAATCTCTCTAACTGTTGATCATATATGCGAAAGAAAAAAAAATCGTGGACATTTAATATACACAAAATGTCCACGAGGTGTGTGTTAATGTGAGGACTATTATATTTAATGGCATATGTCATCCTGTGTGTCCATATTATAATGGATGATTGTCGTCTGTCAACTTTGTAACGTCATGTAACTTCACCGACTTATAAACTGTATAAATGTTTTACATATTGCAAACCACTGATAGTTGTAAAATGCAAAATATTACAAGTGAAAATTACAGTAAAGTCTGCAATAAATGTTTTAAATCATAATAAATTTAACAAAATCGCAAACCCCAAGTATTGGCGGACGTAGACTGTAGTGTTTCCAGAGGAATACTGACCCTTTGAGTACGAGATACGATCAAATATTTCATTGATCTCGTCCGGGTGTCCGACAGGGATGCTGATGGGGTGAGACGACTCCAGCCAGTCTAAGGAGAACACATCCTGAAGAGCCTCAGGCACCACCTGATCCATCATCTTCCAGGTGGGCTCAGCCTAGGGAGAAAAGGACTCGTCATTAAAGAACGCCATCACCATCCTACATGGAGATATCATGAGGCACCGTCATCTATTTACCTTTCAGTCTTGGCAATGACACGGTTATCTTGAGTCTTGAGGTTATCTTGAGATGATTTCGGGGCTTTTAGTGTCCCCGCGGCCCGGTCCTCGACCAGGCCTCCACCCCCAGGAAGCAGCCCGTGACAGCTGACTAACACCCAGGTACCTATTTTACTGCTAGGTAACAGGAGCATAGGGTGAAAGAAACTCTGCCCATTGTTTCTCGCCGGCGCCTGGGATCGAACCCAGGACCACAGGATCACAAGTGCAGTGTGCTGTCCGCTCGGCCGACCGGCTCCCCAAATCTGACTCCCCAAAAATCCCCAACGGTATCTGACAATATTTCAGATATTCCTTTGGGGCATCCCAAACATACCCATACGTGATTACCTACGTGTACAATTTATAATTTCAATCACACGTTAAAAAGATTGTAACTTAATATTTTAGTCAAACTTTCTCTCGCTTTAAAAGAAGACAAGAGGATACAAGTGGAAGCTGGAAACACAAATTAGTCTAAAAAATGCAAGTAAATACTCGTACCCTGTATGCATGGTCAACAAGTCGAATGCACCGATTAAAGAAGTTGAAATCAACTCTATCCACAACTTTTCAAGGACAGATTTGACGAAAAATTTAATCAGAACAGTTAAGCTATAGCGCAACACATACATCAGGGCTAGTAGGCGGGGCATGCAGAGCTAGACCTCAACTTGCCCGTAACCACAGATAGGTGCACACTAATCAACCCGCCCAGCAGTCACAACATGACAGCACAACCTGTGCTCTTTATTAGTACACCGCCGGTGTGATTAGGGGAGCCGGTCGGCCGAGCGGACAGCACGCTGGACTTGTGATCCTGTGGTCCCGGGTTCGATCCCAGGCGCCGTCGAGAAACAATGGGCAGAGTTTCTTTCACCCTATGCCCCTGTTACCTAGCAGTAAAATAGGTACCTGGGTGTTAGTCAGCTGTCACGGGCTGCTTCCTGGGGGTGGAGGCCTGGTCGGGGACCGGGCCGCGGGGACACTAAAAAGCCCCGAAATCATCTCAAGATAACCTCAAGATAACCGCAGTCTTCCCGCTAATCAACAAGCGCCTATCCTGTTTACTCACATGGTCCACACCGACGTACTCCATAAAGGAGGCGAATCCTTCATTGAGCCAGAGGTCGGTCCACCAGTCAGGGGTGACCAGGTTGCCGAACCACTGGTGAGCCAGCTCATGAGCGACCACCACAGCCACCCGTTGCTTGTTGTACGCGGCCGACACCAGCGGGTCGTACAGCATGGCCGTCTCCCTGTCATCCGAGAGAAGAAATAATAAATAACACAGACAACAATAATGGTAACAAACGGGTCATATATATCACAATATAAACTCTAATGTTAAGTATTTGTAAGAACACAAACTCCCGGAAGTCTCAATTGACAACATGTAAAAATCTAAGCTTTTAATCGCGTCAAATATGCTCAATCAGTTGACACCCAGACGGGGAGAACCTGCTCGCAATGTGTAAGTTATGTGATGGATCTCAGCCGGACTATGTGATGGATCTCAGCCGGACTATGTTGCCAGAGTCAAAAACCTTGGGCTCCATGTCTCGCTGTATGGCCAGGTTAACCAGTCTAGCATTAATGTAGAGAGGAGCTCAGTACTCTCGACTGTGGCAGGATTCAATTCCAACTATGGCACAAATATCAGAATTTTAAAATGATTCATTTCGCATATAATAGATAATTATGCTGCACCCTTGCCTGCTTGCTTGCTCGCTCGCTCGCTTGCTTGCTCAGGTATCAGATCATTCCTGGAAGGCCAAACTAAGCCACGAGGATTGCCCTCGTGCTCCCATACCACCAAAATGTTCAATATGAGGAAGGAATTAAATATCCTAAGTGTCAGTGATCGTGGTACAAATTAAAGCATTAACTCCATATTCAATATCCCACGACAGCCACCCCAATCCTTAAGATATCCTTTAGCGAAGGTCAGAATCTAGGCAAAATTTATTACTAAAATTGTAATTTAAATTACAATGTATGACAACGTCGCATCCCTGCACCTTGAGAGATCACCACCCTTCCAATTTATGCCCAAGAGCCACTGATTTGAGTGGAGTCTTTATTGGGCGTCCTCCAGGTAATCAATGATTGGTTACCTGGAGAACGAGTATTATCTTTGCGAGTGACGGAGCCACGAATCACCAACTCTTCTTCCGATTTCAGAAGAAGAAGAAGAGGTTTCCAGTTCTTTTTCCAGAGGTTGCTTGGACACAGTGTCCTGCCATACCGTCGTTCACCCTTAAACCCTCGGGATATTTAACTTTTCCCGTCTCGCGAGTCTAAAATCACTGGTTCTATCACTTTAACAACAGCACCTGCTCTTGCTGCAATATACGGTTTTCCATTTAACTCCCGATTCCCTGCGACTGGACACCAAGGCTTCCTGCATCTACAGAAAAGTTACAGAAAATCTCACTCATTTTCCCGGCTGCTTCCTGAAGCTGTAATGCTTCCAGTACCATGCAATAGCATTATTTTTGTACCGTAAGCCAGACACCTGTTATCAGACTTGCCATCATGCTGTAGGAAGAATGTGGTTTGCAAGTACTATAATAATTAGAAAAATATGCAGGCGATGAGTCACAATAACGTGGCTAAAGTATGTTGACCAGACCACACACTAGAAGGTGAAGGGACGACGACGTTTCGGTCCGTCCTGGACCATTCTCAAGTCGATAGAAAAATATGGTACATAAAAATAGCTTAAATACTATGTCTAACCTGTAAGTGATTAGTCCCCAGTTCTCCATGGCTCCGGCAGAGAAGTCGGGAATGGCGATCATGTCTTGCTTAGGGAGAGGGTAAGGTACGTTGAAGTATTTCTCAAAGAAGGTGAGAATTTTGGGGCCTGTCTGGAGGGCGTAGTTTGCCTGCTGAATAGCAGATTGGCGAGCCTTCACTGTAAGGAAATGATGAAACTGATAACTATCAACAGAAAGCGCCAGAGCTATACAACACATGGAAGGGACATTAAAACAGGATAAGAGCTGGGATACGAGAAGAGAGAAGGAAAAGTGCCCAATCACTTTGACCATCCGGGATCACACGTGTGGGGTTCGAACACACTCCCACCCGGGTCACGGGTGTGGACGTGACCATGTGTCGACCCGCGTACAGTTGAAGGGTCTCGCCCAGCTGCTCAACTGTAACTTTGGTCGATACATTTGAGATGATAAACAGTCACACCGAAACAGTCATTAAACTCTGATCATCACCTGAGCTAAGATAAGGAGAAATTTAGAAGCTGCCGCGGAGTTTGGACCATTGAGTTGATCCACTCCAACGTACACATTAAAAGGACAAATTGTCATATGATTCGTGCATTTATACATTAAACATTATATTAAACAGGGACAAATGTAACCCTCCAAAAGCCGACACTTGCGGTCCACTTAAAAGTTAACATTACAATTATCCAACACTACAGCAAGAGTCCTTAAACAGACTCCAAAGCACCAATTATGAACAACTTGGCGATTAATGGTTCTGGGTTTATGCCAGGGCGGGTCTTTACAGACTCAGCGCTTACTGTACTCCCCAGCATTGTTCGGTGGCCGGCCAGCAGTAATATCGGGTATCAAATACTTCTCATTAATTCATTTTCAATCAAGTGGTTATGAAATTTGCTTCTAAATCTATGTTGTGCATGTGCAGTTTTATTATTATTGCTAATCATTGCATGCACGCATATATTAACGTTTTTCCATTACACATTGTTGTGCTTTATGTTAATTTAAGCAATTTTTACATTATCAGCTACTTTTAGGAAGGCGCTACAATCACCTAATGTTAATATATTTTTATGTTACACGCTGGAGAGATCAGTACTCGCAGTAATCTGTATTTTCGTATCTTAAATACCTGGGAATGTTTTGTGTACATTATCCAGATATCACAGTACCAGATGATTTAGTCATGCATTTTACCTTATTGAATGGTGGGACATAGTTGAAACAATACTAGCAGCATCGCCTACCTCTGAAGAGGACGTGATCATTGTCGTTGGACTCCATATGAGCGAAGTCGGAGACGACGAAGGCGACGAGGTAGGTGGACATTGGCACGCTGGTGTTGAAGTGGTCCCATACCCACCCCTCCTGGCCCTCGCTGTCGAGCGAGAAACATTGTAAGTTTTGACAAGATTTTGGGTAAAATAAACTTGCAATGCTCGGTGTATAATTAGAACAAGTTTAAGAAGTGAACCATTCTTACACTGGCATTGTCTCAAACTTGGGCATGTTTGAAATGGAAGACATCGCGGTCTCCCTGGCCAGGAATACTTCGAACGTGGCCTTCATTGCGGGCTCATCAAAACATGGGAAAGCTCTTCGGGCATCCGTTGGCTGGAACTGTGTTACGGCAATCCACCTACAAAACAAGAGAGCAGAGTTGAGGTTATCATCGTCCCTAGAGTTAAATTGTATGCAAATGATAAAAGCAAAATCAATTAATGAAAGAATCGGCAATTCTTACTTCTCTTGCCCTTGGGCATCTTTGTACTGAGATCTGTAGAAACCTCTCAGCTGGTCATTGAGGTAACCAACGAAGTCCATAGCGAGAACGTACTTCTCGCCAGGCCGCAGCTCCTTGTTCAGAATGGCAGTGTAAAACTGTCGTTCATTGTCATACAAGTGTCTGGAGATCATTAGCCCGGGTCCGCTCCGACTGTCAGATGGTGTCAACTGTAAACATTGCAGTCGAATAGAAGAGCATTGTGGTTCGTAGATGTTACCTAGACTTAAGACCGCTCCTTTAAAAGTCTTTATAAGTCTGGCTTTTTGGTCATTAAATGTTACCACTTTAAGACTATGGAATGATAGATTACTCATTATGGTTTGGTTTTGATCAGCGATTTTATCCAGATATATCTTATGTTATTATTGTTAATATATTACCTTGATTGTGTTGTTCTTTGTAATTATGTCAGCAATATGGAGGGTGATGTTGGAGGTCGGCTCCACAACCTCCATCTCAACCTCCACGTGCCCCGTGATGCTAAAGTTGCCATTGATAAATGGTTGAAGCTTTACCATATAGTGGAGAGGCTTCAAGGCTCTGGGTAGCCTCACATTTATTTTCTCCTTAGCTGGCATGGCGGTAGATGTTACAACTGGAGGAGCAGTGGTGGTGGGCCGCTGCAGGAGGCATAACAGAATATTTAACAATATACTTCATAATTAATTGGATAAATTTAGATTTAGGAAAGACTTGGGTAAATACTGGTTCGGTAACAGGGTTGTTGATTTGTGGAACCAATTACCGCGCAACGTGGTGGAGGTGGGGTCCCTCGATTGTTTCAAGCGCGGGTTGGACATGTATATGAGTAGGATTGGGGGGTTATAGATAGGAGCTGCCTCGTATGGGCCAATAGGCCTTCTGCAGTTGCCTTTGTTCTTATGTTCTTATAACTAGAACATTGACACATTATTCAGATTTCATATGAACAACAGGTCGTAATCACTAAAGCAACGAAGGTACATTATTTTTCTTACTTTTTCTTGTCTTTCAGTAATAGTAAAGGTCGACAGAAAGCAAAAGTCAAACTTCATAATGATTTTTTTCCAATTCTGGTTTCTAATTTTTGTCCTTAAAAGAAGACTTGATACAGTATAAAACTATTTAAAGATCTAATGAACAAATCCACAAGGGCCGTGACGAGGATTCGAACCTGCGTCCGGGAGCGATCATACTACATCTTTAAAGATCTAGTCTGTATGCAAAGCTTAAAATAAGCAACACTGCACGGACATACTGAAGAGCCCCCCAGCTCGAGACTTAAATTATGCCAGGAAGACACTGGGAAAATCTTAGAACTCACCTGAAAACCACTCGCCGTAGTCTCTTTAATGTCCAGAGATTTTTGTTGGGGCTGCCTGACCTGCGGGGCGTAGTAGTAGACGAGGAGCCCCGTGGCCACGACCGAGCTGACGAAGAGCAGTCCCAGCAGGAAGGCCACGCCTCTCTTCACGTAGCAGCCGTTCCTCTTGCCGAAGGAGACGGAGGCGGCGGACTGGTTCATATCCATGGTTAATGCTTCTCTACTCTGACTGGCTGTCATTCTATTACATCACCAGCCTCACCTGTCACGCCACGAAACAAGCAAATATAAAATATGATGCTAAGTAATTCGGCACAATTGCTGCATAAAGGTAAGTGACTTTATCTTTTCAGTTAAAGAATTTAGAGCCATAAAAATATACAATGCATTTCTAGTTTTGCATACATGCTACGTTTATTATACATGGTATCTGACCAGCCTACGCCTCTTCAAATTTTCTAATAACATTTTAATATACAATTAAATTATTGGAAAACTTGCAAAATCAAAGTTCGCAGAGACCACGAAGACTGTAGTATTGAGTACAGCCGGCTCGCTACACATTTATTTATTTATATACAAGAAGGTACATTGGGTTTGTGAGAATACATAGCATAGTACAGTATTTACAATCTTGTAAAGCCACTAGTACGCGCAGCGTTTCGGGCAGAAACATTGTCTTCGAGAATCAAACAAACATTCGGACGTTGGTGGAGTCTCGGGCAAGGCCAAACGTTTGAACAACTTTACTTGCGCCCGATGCCTCTGTTCACCTCGCAGTAAGGACTAACCTGGTTCCTTCTTACCTCCTCGCAGTAAGAAGAAACAATAGTAGACTGTTGTCAGTAGCATCCTGTGGAAAGATCCGTCATAGCCAAGGTGGTCCTTTGCATGTCTAACAGACTTCCTCTTCCAGACAACAGGAAGCCATTTACGAAGAAAGATTACGCTGTGACATGAACGACTGGCATCTTTAAGCAGGCACCATGGTTGGTCATTAGAGGGAACCATCAAGCGTGTGACATGGATGGCTGGCGACTTTACAATACACTCTCCAGTTACTTCCTCGTTTAGAAGGCAGGGAAGTATTATTCAGCCCCCAGTGCTGAAGACTAAAAGAAATTCGTCAACTACAGTTCTAAATTATTGGATTTCAGGACTAACGTCTGCTACATCAGTGCCCGTCGGCCGGCACTGTCGCCTGCCAGGACAAGGTAAGTGTCCTTGTCTGACGCCAGGCCAGACAAGGTAAGTGAGAGGGGACAGTACGAGCAATGTATGGTTGAAGACACATCTGGGCTTGCAAGACGGCACGCCACTGCTAGAGGTGACTCGCGGGAGGACACGCTGACCAGAATTTTAAAAGGAATAATAAAGGACATTTTTTCCGTGAGTGATATGGTTGACAGGGATGCAACCCATAGGGATATATGAGGTGCGAGACTCCCAGATGTGGGTGTGACCACACGGCCCGAAATTGTGGGCATAGATGCAGGTGTGGGCAGTTGGTAGGTGGACCTTTGAGAGAGCGGGGAGGATGAACGTGTACCTCAAGGCTGTGGCGCGGAGTAAGTGCTGAGGGGAAGCCATTGTTGTCAGGGCCGACACTGCTATTATCTCTCCTGCACCTTTTCCGCCCCAAAATGTTTCATTTCCTTTTTTGTTCAGATACAAGCAGAACAAGCCAAGACCAATGCGACAGTCTATACAGTATACCTAGGTCATAAAAGTATTTGTGTGTACGTCTGATACCATACTACTTGTGAAGGAGGAAATGTATATGTTTATCTCAGAATGTTTGGTAATATGTTTATTGTTTGCGATGTGTGTATATGTATGTGTTAACACGATGTACTGAACGGGGTGAGAATAACTTGAGCTACCTCATCCCTTTGTGTGTATTTTACATCAATAAACTTATTTCAATGCGACAGTGTTTGAACAGAAAATACTTGCATTCATCCACATATTTCAATGGCATCCAATAGTCACAAATTCTCGACAGCTCAAATTTATTTTGTTAAAACCAGCCAATTAAAAATGTTGCATATACCATTCTTTCAAAACAGTTTAGACGCAACAATATATAATGAAAATGAGACAAAATGTGACGGCGTCCCTGGGGACTACGCAGCAAGTCCCTGGGGGGACGCAGCAAGTCCCTGGGGGACGCAGCAAGTCCTTGGGGGGACGCAGCAAGTCCCTGGGGGGACGCAGCAAGTCCCTGGGGGACGCAGCAAGCCCCTGGGGGGACGCAGCAAGCCCCTGGGGTTCCCACATGTGATGGGTGACAGGAAACAGTTCACACGAGAGCTCTGTCACCGTCAGTTGCCAACACAATCGTGTCCTCAGGTGTACACACTCAGCACCGGAATTGATGACTATATAAACGCCACCGCCATCCCCCTCCCTAGCAATGGCGTAAACAATAATGGTGCGAGAGAGGATACTTATTTAAAAATGTCCAAGAGGAAGCAAGGTCTAGCTCTTTCTCTGACGTTCTAATTCTTTGTCGAATCTAGTCTTGAAGCTGTGGATGGAAGAGGCTACCACATCATCCTCCAGTGCATTGTTAACCACCCGTACTGGGTACGAGCATTTCAAATTCAAGTAAGTTTATCGAGACAAGAAAAAAATACATCTCAAAGGGATAGAGTATCTTAGGCTATTTCTACCCCCCTGACGAGCATTTCATTACATTCCTTCGGCTCATTGCGGTTACAGCTTTCACCTGCGTCTTTTTTGTCCTACTTTCATCCCTGTTTGAAGAGGATATACTTGTCCAACTTGTCTATTCCTCTAGTTATCTTATGCTGTAATCGTATACACCCCCAAAGTTTCTTCTATCCTCTTGTGTTGTGAAATTTTGTTTCAGTAGCCTATTCTCTCATAGCTTAACCATATTAGCTCTGGCTCAAATCTTGTTACAAACTTTTGAACTTTTTTTCAAATTAGGTTCCATGCTTTAATGGAATATGCACCCGGTGCTGCATATTGTAGTATTAGTCGAACAAATGTTGTGTAGATTGCTGTGAAGGAGTCCTAATTAACATTTCTAAACGATGTGCTTATGTTTGCTAGAGTTCCATATGCTGCTTATATTACCCTGTTCGTAATGTGCCTTCTTGTGGTGGTTGACAAGATGCAAGAGGAATAGTTAAAGTAGAAAAGACAGCCTTATTTAACAGAAATAAACTAGGACAAGACGATACGGGTGGAAGCTGGAAACAAATGAGCAGGAGAAATTTAGGTAAATCTTTATACCCTACTTTCAATTTCTGTACGAGTGGATCAACAGCAGAATGCTACTAAAAGAATAAACGGAAATCTCTTCCTTCCACAACGTTAAGATCCGATTGGACGAAGAATCTGAACGTCAGGAAAGTTCAATTTTAACGCAACAGATATAAGAGATATGACTACATAGTTAACTTCATTAGATGCTCATATGAAAGGAGAAAATATAGAGGTATTAATAAGAGAGATGATGAAGGATAAAGCCAGGACATGTCAAAGGAGAATACGGATGAAGGAACAGAAGAAAAGCGAGGAAATAATGTAAGGAGACACGATTACAATCGGTGCACAAGAATAGGCAAGCCAAACAATGGAGATTGCAACACGAGATAACACAAGAAGATAACGAGCATGACCGTTCTATCGAGGTATCCATGTACATAACAGACAAGGGTCTGTTCACTCCTGTAATTTGCCAATGTCATCCTGTAATTTTTTGCACCCGTCATTGTATTTATTAGTCTTGACATCATCGGCAAACATCAACGTGTACGACCTCACTCCTTCCTGTAAGCTATTCACCTTAGTTAGGAACAACAGTGGCCCAAGGCGCAGGCCTTTGTGGACCTCAACTTTGTCACCTTCCTACAGCTCGACATTCTTCGTGACCACAGTCTGATCACCTATTACAGGCACAGGGACTAGAAGGTGGTAGGAGTCTGCACAAACAAAAATAACAAGGGAACCCCTCTCCCCCCTTTTCTATAGATTACAATACAATTGATACCAAAGTACTTTTCCTCATTTATTAGTCTTATTGGTATCTATTTGTCATTTTATTATTTTCACCACTATTCTATCTAGGAATATTCTGGTCATAGATGTATGTAAAATAGTAAGTACTAGCATTAATGAATATGTCGTCAAATCTAGACCAATGTCTTGGAGGTACCCCAAGGCCCACAAAATTAATCCGGCTCTGTCCAGGACCTTTTGGTTTCACAGTGTTTGGAGGAGAGGGCGGCGTGCTTCCTTAACACTAACTGGGAGAGAGGTCTGGGAGGGAGAGAGAGAGAGAGAGAAGAGGGACGTGTCTTGAATGGAGGTAGGGACTGCGCGGTTAGGACGGGGCTGGTGTGCTGGAAACAAATCTACCGTTCAGTTTTGGTCGCCAGTATGAACAAATTCACTGGAAAGTGTATAAAGATGGACGAATAGGTTCATCCTGGGAATCAAACGCATTATGAAGAGATTAAGTAAGCCTCGTTTACACTGTCTAGAAAGAGCATATGGGTGACATGATGGTCATAACAGTACAAGTGGATGGAACAAAGGGGAAGGTTAGTACAGTATATATACACAAAATAGAATACTAAACAATGGATACAAGATAAGCCAAGATTCAAAAAAGACCAGGGTAAATATCTACTTAGTTATCATCATTTCAAAAGTATAAGCATGCATAGACAGCCACAGGGATACAGCACGTATATATTTAATCCAAAACATACTAGCGCTGCCACGCATCGCAATCCTCCCATTACTTTTAAAAACAAAAATATTGACAGTCACACCGGTCAAAGTCCCAAAGGTACTGTAAACACCCCTTTCATAAGGTTTTCTAGGGATACCTAGTGGTACCCACGAGGTTTATCCCTTACTTGGTTTACTTTAGGCTTACCATGAGCTACGGGAAGGGAAAGCTCCCAGAATCCTAATAGGAGTCAGAACCACCCACACCCCCATTCCCTATCATATTAGTGAAACTCCAAGAAAACGATAAAATTGCATCAACAAAAACACAAATTCTAACCAACACCCTTCCTCCTACAGCCAATCCTCGCACGGGGTCCCTTGAATGTCTAGATCCTCTCCACCAGCTCTTCACGAGAGATCTCTACATCCTCATCTGGGAAAAAAAATGATTCCAAACACAGCGAGAGTCACGTCTCAGACACAAGGACAAAAATTGTTTGATACAAACTCACAAAGAACGTCGCATTACGAACGTATGCGTTACCTAAG